TAACAGTTAATAAATAAATTAATAAAAGAAGTTTAATTCCACCATCATTGCAGTTAATCTGAATTACAATGTGGTTACAGTATAAGAATTACATATTGTTAATCAGTAAGGGACTGGGTTACAATAGATTTTGTATTCAAATTACAAATACAAGTTAAAATATATATGTAGGTATATGGTCTAAAAATCTATTGATTGTTGAAAGCTAAACTAGTACTTGGGAAAAAACTATGGTGCAATCTTTCAGTCCTGCATTTAGTTAATGTATATTTGTTAGCACATCTTTTTTGATAGTGATGCATGCACTGTCTCATCATTGGGAGATGTTTAGTGAGAGGTCCTCCTCTTGAGAAGGAGGTTTCTATATGTTATCTAATTGAATAATATATGTTGATTTCTATGTGTTACATAATTGAAAAGATACTTAGCAGACAGGACTAGACCAGACTAGACCACATTAGACTGATACAAGTGAGCCACAGGATATTCCATGGTATACCATTCATAAGTTTTTGCACTTTATTTTAACATGTCATTGTTTATTCAGTTACTACAGATCACCTGAAGTGGGTGCCAATTGGAAATCAGGCCAGGAAGGTGCACTTAGCAAAATAATGAATTTATTACTATCACATGAAATCCTGTTTTCTTAATTAATTGGTGTATTTGAAATTAATTGTGTGCATGCCAAAGTATGAGTTACAATACAGAAATGAAATGAGGCTGCAGATAAAGTTCCCTTCTTTCTTTCTTTGTTTTCAAGTGTCTCTCAGTAGTTGTATGAATTTTGCCTCACTGTGCTGGCATTGTCCGATAGTTAACCCTTTCACTCCCTAGATCTCATTAGTAATTCTCCTTACTGTCTGCCATACAAAGCTCACAATGTTACTGTACATGTACTTTGGAGAATTTGGTATTGTATCTACTAGTAATCCCCTTATAATTTTTTTGTTAATTCTCATCACTTTTCTGCTTGCACTTATACTGTAAGGAGAAATTATGTCTGAATCACTCAGGCAGTGAAAGGGTTAAAATTAGATTGTACATTTTATCAGAAGTGGTCTAAATGGAGTGTGTGTTGTTTGCAGAAAGCAACATTGGTGCTGTAAGTGTAAGTGACTTCAAGGTTCTGTGCAGTTATCACTGAATTGGTGATGCCTTTTTTTCAGTACGGCCCACAGGATATCAGACCAGTTCTCAACGATATACTGATTGCAAAGCTCAGACCAGGACAGGTATCAACATCCTTTTGTAATTACTTAATTTAGACTAGTTAAACTGACCTACATGTGACGTTGCAATAACACAGAGGAGCGGGAAACTTTTTTTACATGTACTAAATTTAGACTTAAGACAAAAGATGAGAACTCCACACTTGTGATACCCTGAGAACTCTTAAAGCTAAACTTTTTAAGGCTGGTCTCTTACACAAGGTGTAACCAAAACCATGGTTTTAGGCAAGCAGTGAGCCTCAGGCTTTTCTTTAAGAGGTTGATTTGATTGCATAAATTTCCTTCCACTGTGGGCTTTCGGTCCTCTTAACACTGCTAAAAGGACGTTAATTAATGTCTGATAAAAGATTCAGCTAAATTGAAGATAGTTTAGGGCGCAGTTTTGTTAAACAACAGCCGAACTTTGTACATTCAAACAGATATTAAATTTTGTTGGATCTAGATAAGAAACAACACAGTTGTAGTCTGAGGAGTTTTTGTAACTAGTCATTTTCATTTTTTTGTTCTCTCTTCAGGAATTAGATCTTAAAATGCACGCAGTTAAAGGAATAGGCAAGGACCATGCGAAGTTCTCGCCCGTTGGTATGTTAAATGTATGAACCGTGGAATGTGACTGAATTTGTGAACTTTTGCTTCAGAAGAAGACAAAAATACAGGTCGTAAAGTTCACGGATCAATATCAGTGTCTAGGCAACTGCCCACCTACTCCTCCCCTAACTCAATAACAGTCAATTGATAACAACTTAGGGTTAATTTTGGGTTAGGGGAGGGGTAGGTGGGCAGTTGCCCAGATACTGTTATTGATCCGAGTTCATTTTCTCTCACTTCAGCCACGGCATCTTACAGACTTCTTCCAGAAATAACGATTGTCAAACCCTGCGAGGATGAGTTGGCTGATAAATTAGCGCAATGTTTCTCCGAAGGTGTCATTAAAGTGGAAAATGAACACGGTATGTGACATTGAATAGAATTTTGTCAAGTTCAGGGGTGATCGATGAACTCTGAAACATTGTAATGATTAAGGAGGTTGCGTACTAGCACATTTTGGGAAACGCTCTGTCCCAATAGTGAATACACAGGGCACTGGGTGAAAAAGTCTCTGCTTGCGAGTGAGGCCAATGTGGTTGGGACCAAGTCCTGACTCAGCACTCATGACAGGGTACTTATCAGAGAGAGTGGGAGTGATTTCTTAGAACGTTTCTGACAAATGATCGGGTTTTTTTTTTCATTGCTATTGTAGGAGTCAAACGGGCTGTGGTAGCCGACTCGAGAAAAGACACATGTAGCAGAGAAGTATTTAGACACGATGTACGTTTGGCCTCACCTTGATTATTTCCGCTTTGAAATGTCGAAATTCTTACGTTCATCCTGTATTTCTTGCTGTGGCTTTGCTTTTTCGACGGATGAATGTGAACCAGAAATGAAAGACACGAAGCAAAACAAAAAATTCGACAAGATCAAGTAAACTTTTTCTAGTATCGTAGCAAACAAATAAAAAAACACGTGAGGGAGAAGGCTTTTTACTCGTCAAAGTGACTAACTTTGTAATATATACAGTGTTGCATGTTAGGCTGGGTATCGTATACACTTGCATCAATGACGTGGACTACTGCTTCATTTTTCTTAGGATCTAAAGAATCGAGTCAAGCTCTCACGGATTAGGAACCATTTTATATGTAAGTTGGAGTGATCAGTGAGTCTCTTCCGGCTCATCTTTATCGTACACGTGATGAATCTTTGCCAGAGAAGCAGATCCGCTCTGTATTGTGCTGGTCTAGTGTCCATGTTCTTTATTTGAGCTACGTATGTTTTATTTGATGCTTAGGATGTGGTTATTTCAGAATCAATGTAATATAATGGTTAGAATCCGAATACTTGGGATGTGAAATTATTTAATATAGAAGGATGTTAAAATGAGGCTAAATTTAGGCGAGGTTAAACTCAAGAAAATGCTGTCTAGCGGTCTCAGGCTCTAATGGGAGGGGGGGTGGTTCCAAGGCCTTTGTTTTTTATAGCGCTTTGTTCGGTGCTAAGCCCTTATTATAATAATTTTGCGAAGGTGACTCGCGAACCGACTTTACTGTTCTGTGCTTTGTGTAGTCTCCGTGGAGTCAACTGGTGCCCTTCCTCCAGATGCACTGGTTTGTGAATCCATTAAAGTCCTAATGGGAAAGTGCAGACATTTCCTCTCCGAACTGGATGGCCAGTCTCTAGACACTTGAGTTTCCACTTCATCTAGTCCATGCGTAGAGGGAAAACTTCGACATTGTTTGGCTCACCCGGCTGAACACTTGCGTTTTCATGCTTCCTGGTCCGTGCGAGAACAAACACCTTATACAACGGTATTGTTTAGCTAGCCTGTAACGGATGAGAAGTGAAATGGAATCAGACTTCCCAGATGCCACTGTCATCTATGAAAGTGAAACTCCAAGCCGGAATTGTAATAATTGTTGCAACAGTGTTGAATATGTAGAACTGATAACACCAAGCCTACCATCTCTTCAGAGCGCTTTTCGATTAAGTGTGGTAAAACCGAAACCAGAGTAATCAAAATGGCTAATCGGAAGAAAGAGAGAGAGAGAGAGAGAGGGGTGCAGTCATCTAGACCAATCACAGAGCGAGGTCAGGCTAAAACAAGGTAAACCCGGATCACTTTCGACACTCAACTGAAAATTGTTCAAATTATCTTTCATTGGTAGCTTATACGTTTTTTATGAATGTAAACGAGGAAGTAGAGGAACAAGCAAACGTGTTCATAAAAACACCTCGAACGTCATAATGACTGTCAATACACTATCCACCTTTATAACAATAAAATTATGAAATTATCAAGTCTTTAGGCAATTTATCAAGATTGAGACGTTTTGTCCCACCAACTGTATTGCTGAACATATATCGTTCTCTCATTGAAAGTTTCTTGTCTTATGGCCGGTAGCAGTCTGGAACCTAGCTGCCCAATCAAAGTTGGAAAAAAATTCTCAATCTCTTTAAATTTCATGCTTTACCTTTGTGCAACTTGTCAAACATTCTTCCTCTTCATCTTATCTATTTTATAACAATCTGTTCTTTTATGCATGATTTCATCAACGATCTAACACCTCCTAACATTTCAGAATTACTTCGTTATTCTTTAGAAAAAAACACCACTATTATACAAAGACTCTCAGCGGTTGGCAATCTCTGTCTTAAAGACTGGAGAACCGAACATATGAAATTTGTTTTTTTCATGACGAGGAACTGGAATAGTAGTCACATTTGTCTTCGTTCTTTATCTAAATTTATATAATAAGCTCAGTTATGCACGCATTCTGATTGGTTCTCACTTATGATCTATTGGAGGACAAACGTATAGATGACGTTATCATTAAAACTTTTTAGATGTCTTTTTCCATTGCTAAGGTAAATAAATTTTGTTTTTATTGTTGCAATTTTCATATCTATTACTGAACAGACGCACGGCAACTTGGAATCTATTTGTTAAATAAATTTAAAAGAGTATTGCATAGATAGGTACTGAACATTTTGATGTGAGAGGATACTTGTTGACGTCCATGTTTACTTCCCTACCACCTCGCTTAGCTTCGCTATTTTGCGATAGAGATTGTTAGATGTCTTTTTCCATTGCTAAGGTAAATAAATTTTGTTTTTATTGCTGCAATTTTCATATGGCTATATTTATTTCAGAAGGTTTTTACCGATATACGCTTCTATAATTATTCAAAATGTTTCTCATAGTAAGTAAACCAATTTAGTTTTCCTAGTTGGTCGTGAATATTTTATACATGTTGGAATTTTCCAAGAAAAATTTATGTTAGCCTACCCCAGGCATAAATGGAGCGCGAAATTGACGAATCAGAGCACACACACTAACTTAGAAATACAATACTGATATTTTCGATTAGTCTAGTACCCAGACTTTTCACGGCCAAGCGTTTCAATTACACGGTATGATCTGGGTACGAGATTGAGTTTCGAGAGGTAACTTCTTCATTCAAATTCAACAGTCTCTTGGGCCAACGTCTTACACGTCTTCATTGGATATGGCCTTAGGATAGGTTTTCGATTCTCTGCTTCCTCGGGTATATTAAGCACATCGTCTCCATAATTTTCCTCTAAATTTGCTTTCCAGGATTTGGGAACTGGAAACACGAAGCCTTCAAATTCCATTTCCTTTAGTGGAAAAACGTCTTCACTCCTTTTTTCACTGACAAACAAATCGATCATGAGTCCGTCATGCCACTTGCAATCGTACAAAAGGCAATAACCATAACAACTTGCCTTATCTCTTAGGCGATGGTTCATTGGATTTAAATAATAACCAATTTCTGGGTGAAGCGGAGAAACTGCGTCTTGAGGCCTATTAGACAGTAAGTTAGTGTCTGTAAAGGAATTCTGGAAAAAAATATCATCCGGAAGATCTCTGCTTGCTACTTTAAAGAATTTGATATAGTCCTCCAAAGGCATTTCTATATCGACGTCATGATCCCAGGGTATAAAACCCTTGTGTCTGGCAGCCCCTAAAAGTGTTCCGGAAGATAGCCAATAGCGGATGCGGTGTTTTGTGGCCAAAAGATGAAATATTCGTAGCATTCTGGTCATCACTAACTGGGATTGCCTCAATGGAGTGTTCGCTTTGTGGCGAATATCGGGACATAGGATACCTGTGCTACCCATCTCACACATACCTCCCAGGTCGGTGTAAAGCTTAGGGCACATTGGGCCGATTTCAAGTTCCATGTCACATCTCGGCCTGGCCATGTTTTTGTTTACAGGGACAAGTGTCCGTGGATGTGATTCCAAATAGTGAAGCTCCTCGAAGATTATCACACATAGGATACAAAGAGTTGCCATGAATATAACCAGTCGATGCCAAATCTTGAAGCTGAACACGAACCGGTATCGAAGCATCTAAACAGAAACAAAGACAACGATCAATGCAGTTGTTGAAAAGTTGTACAACCGGGAACGGTCGCTATTTATCGTCTAGGGGGAAGGAGGGTGCGGATGATTTTAGTTATGTCACAAAAAAAATTTACCTGATCTTCCCCTCATCGGCATTCAGTTAGCAACGACTGATCCCCTATAAGTTCCCACTGAAAACCATGGGTTCCCCCAAAAACTTACAACCCTCCACCCCCTCCCTAAATAAAATAATGACCGGTCCCTAAAGAATGGTTATTGCACAAGTCTCGGTCGATATCTTTAAGAAATTTTCGATGACCCAATTTTAATTTTTGTATTGTTTTATTTTTGTTTGTGTCTTTGACTCTTGTCAGTCTTCGTTGTCTTAATTACCTTGTATTGTTTTTTGGCTTGTGCTTTTCTTACCGTTGTTAATTTTTAAAATTGTATCACCCCCCTCCCCCTCCCCCCCCCCCCCCAACGCATGAAAACATTGCTAGGGAGAGCATGCGCACAGTTACACTGATTCTTTAATTAACATGATGCATTATTTCTAGCCAAGAGATTATGATCTCTTGGTCTGGGTAACATCTTTTTAAAGCATCATGAATTTAAGAGGGGAATAAATAAGTTTTTAGATCAGCTCATTTGCACTATAAAAACGAATTGCAGTAGTACAGATTTAAAAATATCACGGATCACTGATCGACTGAAAATGTTTTCCCGAATTCCTGATTCTGCTTGTGCATTAGAAGTTAGATTGTGGATTAGATCGTTACTCTTCAGTCTTCCTCTCTAAAAACCTTTGATTTGATTTCCTGAATTAAAGACATTTTCTAAAGTCGTAGCGTTAATTCCATAAATTTCACCAATTAAAAAGAGAAAAGTCAAAACATTTTGAGGTAATTAGTAAGCGTGTTTGAGGTTTCGAAAATTTCCCAATAATTGTAGAGCCTCAAATAAATTAGATTGAGGAATCAGCAGAATTTTCGAATCAGGGAGCAACGAATCGTTAGAATGACTTTTCCAAAAGCAGCACAAAAAACTTATCTTATAAACTTATAGATAAAAATCAAATTCGGGTCTCTAAAGACGTTGTCCGCCAAATATAGTCAGTTTTCAAGTTGGAAAATTCTCTTAATTTTGATATTTTTGTTTGCTCATTTGTGGTTTCCGTCTTCCGATTTACAATAAATGAGGGGAAAAATGGAAATTCGGCCAGTATCCGCTTAGTGTGGTTTCCGATAACTTAATGAGGTTTGTTTCAGATATGACTTGTTACTTACCGTTAGCTGCAATGTCACTCGCAATTTTTTTAAACAGTACGACTTATCGTACCTATATTTGTCTGGCTAGGTGTTGTTTGAACCTGCGTTGACTTTTAACCGTGCACGAGTGGCCCTCCTGCCTCACTTAACTTTAAATTATTTGTTTTGAAGATCAAGGTCAAAAATTGGTGGAACTATTGCATAAGAATTAAAAAATCTGCATTCACAGAAAGAAATCTTCTGTAAAAACTGCTTTCTTTCGTTGTCAAGTAAAAAAGATAAAAAAAAAAAGATGATTTAATAAATATCACGTACACCTTCCATTCGGTTCGATGCATTGCTGTAGCAACCGAATCTTTTATCAGTTAAAAATATGACTTATGCGTGTCATTTGCTTATACAAATAGGGTATTCATCTCATCGACGTGTGGGACACGAATTTTAGCGTGGGTGGTTTAACGTCAGTTCACAAGTATAATTTTTAATAGCCTCGACCCTCGGATCAAAGTAGACTTGATAGTATTTTGATTTCAGCGAGAAAACTTACACGATAAGTCTTAGGATCATCGTTACGTTTGGATGACACTTCGTTATGGGCATTACTGGTCTTGCTTTTCTCTTGATTAATGGTCAGTCTATAATGATCTTAACAAAGGAAGATCATTTTTTCCCGAGACCATCGTCCCTTAGCGACAGGCAAAAAACCTTGACGTGGACAAAAAAATTTTATTCATCTCTCTCTCGGCAAATCGTTAACCTGCAAGATGGCAGTGGAAAGTCAATAATGATAAAGATGATAATGACAATCAAAACGATATAATACTCCAAGAATAATTTATTTTTATCGTCTTTCAGAGATTCGCGGTGTTTCTAATTACTTTTTACGGTTTTCAAATTCATTTTGAATTATATCGGAAACACATTACATGCTTCTAATTTTGATGATTTGATGATTTATCAAGATAGTTAAAAACGTGGTGCCATAGTCATTAAGGCCAACTGTTCGTCCACTATAAGAATAAGAAGGAAGTACTCGACATTATTGTAAGATTTGTGCGGCACCGCGTCCGCAAACACGTTGAAAACCATAGCGAAAGCTTACGTGTGTAGGGACGGACGGGTTGACGTGAGCCGGTCCGGAAATGATTAAGCGAAGGGTAAAAAATATTCAACTGAAATCATGTACATTGGTTCATATCGTAGGCAACTTGTGAACGAGACTGATATCATCTTCAAACTGTTACTTCGTTCGTTACATTCGTTTATCCCGCACATATCTTTACCAATAAGAGCAGGAATCAGAAAGTCATTCCAAACATCGCACTATTACGTTTCCAGCGGACACTCCCAGAAGTGTATGTAGCATTTCATGAGGCCTGATGAGTTGTGGCTGACACTGCCCCTACAGGTACACGTGTAGGTTGGCGTGCTAGACTTTGTATCACGTGATAGCAGGTACTGTCTTGCATCATCTGTTGAGCACGTCACTCCAATGATTTTTTTGTTCTGATTGGATAAAAAAAAAAAAAGAAAATGTATTGAGATGAGATGCGCATACGGTTTGTAGACAGCTGTCTTGTAGCAATTACGATAAATTTCCAACTCATCAGCAACAAAAGATAATAGAAGTAAAGGAATTTTGTACGACAGGGCAGATTTTGGTACGCCTTAAAGCCCATAAAATGTTCTTACCCTGGTTTAGTTTTGCTGAAATCATTTAGAAGAGGTATGGCCTGCTCTGTTGGTCTTATCACTCATTAGACGCTCAAAGTGATTCCTCAATATTGCACTGCGTTTCATGTGATGCACATATAAATCACGTAATCAGGCAAATGACGCGCGCGCATTCCGAGAACACGACATTGTTTTTCAATCAATAGACCAGTTGAAGAGGTGCGATGGTCATTAGCTTTTAAACGAGCACGGTGATCTATATTTTATATTGCATAATTTTGGTTTATAAATTATCCCCTTTAAATTGCAGAACTTAAGAAAATTCATCCATAGGAAAAAAGATGAAGCTGAAAGCTCTCACGAAGCCAGTTACTCGATGATGCAAATCAAGGAACGTTTTGAGTCGATATCGTTTAAAACTGCGTGATCTTTCCACAGATTATATAGACAATTTTTTTATACGCTCGAAACTTTCTACCTATCAAGTTTTTTTTATTTCATCCTAAAAACCTTCGCTTTTAGCTACCACAAATGTACCGTGAACCGATAAATAACGCGCGTGATTATTGCCAGTACAGGCACAGAAAGGGCAAGTTTCTTAAACAAGCACGGTGACATATCTTTTTTATTATATTTTTCAAAACAGACATTTATTGGTAGGGAACATTTAAAGAAATTTTTTAAAAAGATTGTGCGTGAGTGATCACCCTAACTTGATCTCATGATATCTAGTAAATTTTAAACGGCAAAAGACAGTAAACTTACAGTTGTTTCGACTACGCTAATGGCCGTGTTAGCGTATGGACCACTTGTCGTTACTGAAGAATTACTCCTATGTCGACAAAGGCTGAGGTCGTGTACACCGGGAGGTGCCTTGGCTCCTTTTGGTCCAGGTGCTCCAGTATCCCCTTTAGGGCCCTGAGTTCCGTTGTATCCTTGTGGACCACGGAAACCAGGGACACCTGGAAGTCCCTTAGGGCCAATAGCACCGGTGATTCCGGTTTTTCCTGGAGGGCCAGGAGACCCCTGAGGACCTTGAATTCCTTGGGGACCTGGGGGTCCTTGTAAGCCCAAGATCCCTGGGGGACCGACTGGTCCTGGTGGTCCCTGAAGCATGGTACCACGGGGATCTGTTTTATTTACCTGTAAAGCAAAATCAGTGATTCTAATTTTTCTTAATGAATGGCATAAAGGAAGTCTTATTTCATCGTCCATTGCTTCTATGGGCTAAAGATTAGATTTTTGTACATGTTATACTACCATGCCCTAGCAGGGGAAACAGACCTCTTATAATTCTTGATGAAATAATCGGAGACACCAGCCTTGTCTAAGAAGGCCCCAAACTTGTAATGTCCCGTATTGGCCGATGACGCAGCATCGCGTCGAAGATTTTGACAGCAGATAGTGTTTGATGATGACGATAGTTGAACTTGCGCGCTGTTTGGATTAAGGCGAGCAACGACTAACCCACCCGTTTTGATATCTTTTCCTATTGAAAGTGTACTTTCTAAAGTTTTATAAATGGTTTCTGGAGCAGGATGTTTGAAAAAGGTCTGGTGTCCTCTTGAACCGCACTACCAGTTCATTCCACTTCGAACGTAATGGACCATTTCAATACTGTCAAGCAAAGGAAATATCTTCAACAAACAGAAAAGAAAAACTCACAGTAGAAAACAGATTATCCAGTCTTCTTTTCTGAGTCGTCAAGGTGACATTCAATTTGTTTTCAGTTTTTGTCAGCTCATGCATTGTGTTTTGCAGCACAGTTATAGCATTTCTTATCAAGGCTTCGTTCTGACTAAGTCTTCCTAACTCTTGCTTTAAACCATCAGCTGTGCCCTTTATAACAATCTGTGATGGTGGTGGCAGTTGTGGAGTTTTATTTGGAGTTTTATTTGGAGTTGTTTCTGTTAAAAAAAAAAGGAGATTAAAGATGGAATTCATGGCAATAAGATGACAAAAAAATACTTGCTAACTAAGGGTAATCAGCAAGGAATCGAATATCCTAAATGTCACTGAAATAAATATGTCATTTGGTGTGACTTTAATCTGATTTCTTTCAACGAAAGAAAGGGTAAAACACTTACAAAGTACTATGCTTTTGATTCAGACGCCGAAATTATCTTGTGTCGAGCTAATTGCATCAATTGTCATAACCTTTTTTTTCCGGGAACCATCGAAATTCTTAAAAATAAAAACATGAATTATAATTTAATGGCTAATAATTGAAATTGGCTCCAATTTTCATTCATCAGTCTTACTTCTGTGATATCGGCATCAGTTAAAATTGTTATCTGGTTTGACCAATTTCGCCGGTCTGAAACGTACCACAGGACGCTGACGTCATCTTAATCTTAACGTCAACATTAAATAAGTTACTTCAGCTCGTTCTTCCGTTGTATGACGCACATCAAAAAAAATATCAAGTCCACAGTACCTCGCTGATAAAGTGTATTCGAGGACTTCACACTTGTGAGTGTCTGAGAATTGTAATTATTTTGTGATGTTTTCGTTATCCATTGTTAGACGACAATAAACGTCTAGATTACTCTAGTAAACTAAGTCGTGTTTTAAGTGAAACAAGTTACCTGGAACCTGCGAAATGGTTTCCCTTGGTTTTCTAAGAAGAATCCAGATATCTAACAGCAATGAAATCAAAGTTAAGACAATGAAAATTGCGACAAGAACACGTAGCATAAGAAGCTCATTTCGCATGGTCTTCTGTTCTGCTTGATCTAAACTACAAGCAGATCCTATTACTATCCTCGGAGTGTAGAGATTTGTTTCCCATCTCACGCATCCGGTTGTCCCATGCTTTATGCTGCGATCCAACTACTCTAATTCCTGTTTGGCGAAGAGTCGAAGGAAAGAGGTGCAATTAAATTAAACACTGGCTTGGCACGTGAAGAAAAAAATTGTTCGTAGAAAAAAAACATAACAGGTTGTCTGAATTTGGGAAGTAAACAAACTGGTTGTTGGATCCGGCTCACACCGGATAAAGGTAAAGTGAAATACTTTGAATGTGACTGCCGAGGGAAGTTAAGATTCTTTTAGGATGCAATTCTCGGTAAACTGCAATCGTTTTTATTGCAACAAAGGGCCATACTAAATGACTATAAAAATATGGAAATCATATGTGAAAAGGATCAACAGTTGAACAGGTGGTTTATACCTGTTTTGTGCTCCTATGTATTGCCTCAAATCAAATAGAGTGTCCTAAAACTATCCTGGGTCAATAATTCGCTCCTCACTAATCTAGCTATCTGCGCTAAAGTGTATTTGGCATCGTTTTGAAAAGGGCAGCAAATAGCAAAGTTTTTGGAAATGTTCATATTAAAAATCTCCCGAGAGAGTGTTTCGTATAATCACCAAAAGTGTAGCTTCCGGCTGGAATTTTCCATCAGAAAGATCAATTTTCTCTGATTCAAATTCTTACCCCAAAAAGACTTAGAATACACTGCAAGCCACATCAACTTACTTCTAGTACACCTCTTCGGATTCTCTATAAGGTGAGAAAACAAGCCGAGTAAAACAGATTGAATGATTTGAGATCATTAAAAGTATTCTTCATTATTTTCAAATGACCACCACGAAAATATCAAAATGTTCTATCTCTGCATCACCTCAGTAGGGATCACTTTAGTAGTCCTAAGTCAGAAATAAGCTGATAGAGGTGATAAAGATCTGCCTTTTACCAGTTTAGCTGGCAGCGTATGATTACAGAATAGACCTTGTTTGAATCATGAGAGGATGAAGGGATAAAATTGGAAGCTCCTAGTTTAGATCTTGGCATATTTCAATTCTACTTTGGTTCTTCTGGAGCACTAATCTATTTTCTGGGATGTAAGTGGAGCCTCATCTCGATCTGATGTTCTGAGTAAAAAGAGTTCTGTGTCAGATAGCGTATAGATTTATTTCTGTCGATGAAAACGACTTCCAAAAAGAAGAAAAATTATAATTTTTCGTCAGTGTAGGCTCACGTTGTGGATGTTTTGGGAAACAAAATAACTTTTTCACCCGGGACTGACAACCATTTCATTAAAATCGACATATTCTGATTAACATCCAGCTTGTTCTTAATTATCTCCTTTTTCTCTCTGCTCTAAAGCTTTACTCTGTTGTTCGCAACAAGATTGGAGGGTCGCTGATGAGCACAGAAGTGACCGATATCAAATGTGGCTTCAAATCCTTTCAATGACTTACTCGAGTCTAATTTAACAATACGTATTCCTTTATGAATGTAATGCAGCAAGGAGCTGCTTTCCTGAAGCGCGAAAAAATCCTGGAATAGATAAGTTTTATTCGAGATAATGTGCTTTTTATTGGGATGGCATTTACAGAGAGGCCAACTATCCAACTGATTACTGCATAAATGCTCGTGACGCGTGGTGGGTTTGGACAACTGAGAATTATTTATAGACTTTTATAGTCTTTTATTTATAGTTCATATTTTATCCGCATTTTTCATAAATCCTAAGGATTTTTTGTTCCTCAGCGCACTATGTCTGTTAATTATCGACTTGTTGTTATTTATTTCAATCTCTTTTTCTTAGAAATCGTTATATCAAGGTTCCCTGAGGGTTATGTTCGAGCATCCCTAATTTGATGTTTTATAGCATGACGTGACCTTAACGTCATTCAAATGCACCCCTCCAGCTATTCGTATTTACCTACCAAGTATAAGTTAACGTCAGCACCGCTCAAGGAAATAGAATTTTCCCTTGAGGTCAACAATGGCACTCAGGGTCCTCGAGCTTCCAACAAGCCCACCTGGTTAAGGCCAAATTAGTCCAATTGGTCCGCCAGGTGTGCTGGGTCTCCCAGGTGTAGTTAGTCCGCCAGTTGTGCAGTGTCCTCCAGATCATAGCAGATCTCAAGGTCCCTTAGGTCCCATTGGGTCTTCACATGCTCAGAGTCTGCAGGGTCCTCAGGGTCCAACAGGAATTTAAGGTCCACAAGGTTGCAAGGATGAACTAAGGTAATAGTGAGCAGGACTCGGAACCTGCCCGGCATGGAACTTCCACTGAAGAAGCTAAACAAGCTCTCGGATGGAGATGCATTTAGTTCAATTAAATTTCACAACTTTCCTATAAATTTCAAGCTTCGGATATTTAACCTGACGTGGAAAGAGGTTCGCTGAAAACCTACTCAAGCTAACATTAGTTGGTACAACCGTGCATTGTTAAGTGTGTGTGCGTGTGCTGAAAGTGGCCTTGTCAGTTCATCCAGAAGTCTTTGTATATTAAATTGAAAACGATTCAATCACAATCAAAGGTCACATCCTAAGGAAACCGGCTAACAACATCACCCGGCAGGCACTACGTTGGAACCCCCAGGGCAAGAGAAAGAGGGGTCGTCCCAGGAACTCCTGGAGAAGAGGTGTAGAGTCCCAAATGAGAAACTGGGGCCACACTTGGGCCACTTTAGGAAGATTTGCCCAGGACAGAACCCGATGGAGGACGGAAGTGGTTAATGGCCTATGCTCCAACCGGAGCTAAGGGAGAATCATCATCAATCGCTGATCGCACGCAGGTCGCAGGGATGTATCGACATTCGTAGATATACCAAGCTAAGATATTTATAATACACATACGAAGGGCTAACGCTAGTAACGTCAGCTTTGAAACTCTTTACGGTGGCCAATTTACATTATCAACATAGTTGATAATTCCAAATTATCCCCACCAACGCAGCACCAGAGTTTCTTTGGAAGCTCACCACCTTTATTAAGATATTCATGAAAGCTCTTATGCCAGTCGTTGAAAACTCAATCAGCAATTGGGAGTGACAAATATTTTCTTTTTCTCAACAGAAACTTTCAATAGCTCACAGTCGTTGATGTATTGTTAAACAATGCATATTGAAATATTGAAAAATGAAGTCCTGTCAATCAAAAAACAAAGAATTAAATTTTTAATAAAGGAGAGACAAATTCGCACCATTTGTCTCAATTGATTTTTGAGGTCTGTGACATTATTCATGCAAAATCAAATTGCCTGCTTCTAAACCTTTTTTCATAGATTTCGAGAGTCGCAACGAGTTATTTGATAGACCTTGCTCATTGAAATAGTTGAACAAACTTTCTGAAATACGTTCAGCAATGTTAAAACGTACTGTTTTAGTGTTTACCGTCATGTTTAAACTTATGCATTACCAAGCAACCCAAGACAGTAAATTTTATGTTTTGCTAACTTATATTTAGATCAATTCCTCTGATAATTACTCATTTTCCCACTTGCATTTAATGGTCCCCAGTCATCGACATGCGAGTGGAAACTTGGTTCTTCTTAAAGAAACGCTATTTTTAACAACAAAAAGGAGACAAACGTCGAGAGGCGCGAATGGGAAAAGCGGCCATTGTAAAATGTCAGGGTGTGTTAATCAGGTGGCGTTTAAAACGTCGACCTCGAGTTCGATAGCTTGCTATTGACTTTGTGCATGCTTCGCATAGAGTTTTATAAGAACGTTCCAAAATGCCTTTTCTTGCCTTTGCTGTTGCGTGAAGCAAAAATTGGGCTTAGACAACCTTAAATTAGTTTTACTTCTTCAAGGATGACCGCTAATGAGCGGCTTGGCTGGCTTTCAGGTTAAAGAGGATAAAGGATAAGTATCTTTGATTGTGAAAGGCCGCACCTAATAAAAGTAAATGAACTACGGAAAAGATTTCTAAGAACCTCCTTTTATCTTGCATGTAAATGTTTCCTCTTTGAATATTCAATTATTCTTCGGTTTAGTTGCGGGTTTGATCTTGGACTAATATGGAGAAGAAAAACAGGAAACAAAAAAATCTCCCCTTTTGTGTTGAAAAGGATCCTTTAGGAAAAATTGGCTTGTTAACTTTTATTGAAATATCCCGGTGTTTCCTTAATATCATTGTATTACTTCACGGACTTCTTTTTTGCCATTATGACCAATTAAAATTGAAAAAACACTGAATAACGTCACAGCCACTTTAATTCTCACATATAAGCGGCTGAGGCTTTACAAAGCTTTACCAGCAAGAGTTCTTTTGTCAGGTTTCCCTTAGGCTGTTACAGACTACGTTCGCTACTGAAAGTTTTATTTCAGGTTTAACCAGTCGACCTCTAATAACGTCACCGTCTTTACTAACTTGATCTTAAGGGTTAAGAGGTGGGCAGAATGTTGTTAAACAAAATTTTAAGCTCTCACGACTTTCGGATGCCTTGAGGGTTAGTTTTGTTTGCTTTCTGTCATTAAAAACTCATTACATTCCCGGCACGTAGGTTAATATTTTCTTAACGGGTAAAGGTGTTATTAAACTTCGTGATCACCGCGGCGTGACTAACGTTTAGTTATATAGAGAGTGAGAAGGCTCCTTTCTGTTAGTTGCGATTTGTCTACATCTTTGACACAATGAACTGAAATAAGCCGGTTTTGGAATGGCCTCCTCAAAAACTCGTGCGTCATGCAGTGGTGGACCTTTCGCTGTTGTAAATCCTGCCTTCCAAAATTGGTGCCACGATGATGGTAAAAAGGACAGAAAAGGGTTACTTACATCAATGGCTGACAAAAACTATGGAGCAAAACGGGTGTTACCGCATGAAAACAAGTTTTCACCCAAAGAACCGCAGAAAACGAGCCACGAATCTTCAGGTGCACTCAGGACAAACCGAACTCTGTTGTGGCTGATGGTGTTTCTTTGCCTTGTGTCAACGGCAGCACTTGCGCTAACAATCCTGATGTTGTTCGGTAAAATTGGCGATCGATGTAGCTGTGAAACAAACCCAGGTAATCACGTAGAAAAAAAAATCAAATAATAAACCTACTTAGAAATATTTCAATTACATTTACTGGACTTGACGACTATTACAAGGATGCAATGCACACTTTGGCTACAATACAATTCTATACCTTCGAACGTTCGAGTAAAAAGGAATCCATCAAATATTTTCTGCTGAGTCAATAAAAATTTTCATAAATTCATTCTTTTACGGAGGGTTACACATGGTAGGAAGAGCATTTATTTTTTTTTTTGTTTTTTTGTTTTTTTGTTTTTTTTGTTTTTGCCGAACTTTCATATTTATTTGATCTGCTGTCAATGCTTTAAAAGTACAAAAGGCAATTCGTTACTTAGTACCAAAGCCTATGGCATTTTCGTTCAATCAACTATAAAAGGTATAAGCCTCTAATCATGTGATATAGTCTCATACCGTCCTGAATTTACCACAAAACCTTCCTTGGAAGAGGAAGAGCATTTATTGATGAGTCGCTTTTAACTCATCATGTGGATAAAACAGGTGGAACTTTCGTTTCTTCACGTCTCAAAGCGTAAAACCGCGCTCATTACATGTGGAAAAAATAAGAGCCGTCGGGAGTATTTTTCGAAGAGACCGGGAGTTTAGAAGACTCAAAGAGTTACTTTCGTACGTGGTTTGTGTTAACTGAAGGTTCTTAGAACACGCATCGATCACTGTTACCTCTGAAGCTAAACCTTCTGGGTTTTAATCGCCATGTTTGAATGACCTTATTTATTTTTTTTTAAGACTTGACCTTGGAGTGATACACGTCGACTAATAACATCTTTTAAAGGGGGGTTTGTCTACAGTAGGAATCTACATATCTTAATACAAAATACATTTTTTCGTAATACGGTTAACACGTCTAAAGACGTACCTAATTGAAAAGGAAGTTTCGACCACGGTAAAATGTGTCTAACGGCTACCTTTAAAGCATCGCCTGTTAAAGTTAAGTTCAGAAGTTAACTCAAGATAAAAGAATGTTTTCGAGTTTATATAGATGAAAACTGAGGCATGCTCCACTATTTCTTATGAGGAAATTAAGTCCAGGATAAATGAATAGCGACAACGTACAATAAGCCTTCGATGCGTTCGGAACAAATGAAATCGTTTGAACTTTACCGCTCCATTTCGTTTTATTTCATGTTTGCGTATTATCTATTGCTACACTTGTCTATATTGATTTTGGTTAAGTATGGCAATATTAATTTTCTTATCTGCTTAGGTCTCCCATTGAACAATCGTTTGAAAAATGCTTGCATCCGTTGTTTGAAAAGTTGCCCGATCACGGTTTATTAAATCTCGAAAAATTTCGTCAATTTTCACGATTATCATTTGAACCTGTACTTATCTAATCAAATCAAAAGCTGTTTTGTTGTTTTCTGTTGTTCCGTCTCTTTCAACTTTGATGTAGTTTTGCATGTGCCAAGGAAGCACTCAAAATAATCTTGACTCAGCTCTTTATGAGTGCAGTCACTTACGGCTCTTGCGTCTGTATTTTTACGATTCTTAGACAGACCGGAATTTCATGAAAACCACAGCACAAATAACGTTAAAAATAGTCTCGAGCGAGCACAACGATTTCCTAGAAAATGGCGCGTCTTTCCGGATTAAAAATTAATCGATTGTCATTCATCCTGTTGCGCCAAGTCCACCTTCACTTTGACAGCGCTATTGACAAAATTTCTTCCCATTCAAATGTTTTGACGTAAAGCGATCTTTGTTTGAAGAGCACATTTTTCTAAGGTTATTACGAAAAGGGAAAATCTTGTTGTGATTACCCTCCATAGCTTTTTTTCCTGCTTTTTTAAATTTAGTCCTGTACCAAAAGTACAAAAGTTTCGGTCCGAAGTGGAGAAGGCGAAACAATAATTGTTTTCAAGACTCACTGAGTGTTTTTCCGATTGGCAAAAACATCCCACGACATACAAAAGATTAAAAATGCATCAAGAGTTTATTTAACGAGTTTATGAAACGTAAGTGCTTATAGTCAAAAATGAAAGTCCAGAATTTTCTTGATTGAAAAATTACGGACGATTTCAAACTAAATTGAATCGTTATCTAGCTCAAGAGACCAGGTTTACGACAAGCATCTTTTAACCTAAACTGTACATATAAACGTTTTATTGATACGATCAAATAATCTGGGGTGATGAATATTCACAAATGAAATGTTTATGTCAGCGTTTATTACATTTCGCCCCGTTTCTCGAAGAGCGGATCTCAGTTTTGTGTGTTGGACCTGAGATCGCCAATAAAAATTTTGCTTATCAATTCATTGATTGGTGGTTGTTATGTTCCTTCTTCATCAGTAGAAGATTTTGATTGAAACAATTGTTAAATAACCGCTTCGCTCAATCAAACGGACAATGACCGTCTTCATTTACTGTATTATATGCAATGGCTGACTTTTTTCAGAATGTTCTGTTAGACGAGAAAATTGATTTTCGTTACCTTATTGAGAGCTGGCATTTTTGTAAAAGATTCTACATTGGTGAAATAGGAGCTAGATTTTTTGCATTTTTTGTTCATTTGAATAGTGCACTTTCAAAATTTTTAACTTACTTCTTATACTGATCAGATGCGAACTAAACCAGTCATGAAGATAATGAGTCATTGAGAGCCATCCCTTTCATTAACCATGTTGAAATACTCAGTGCTGAAATTTTCCAGCTCCTCTGGGCGACTGCAACGTCTCTTTTACTCATAACATACAATGATCGATCTTTTACGGATTTCTGAAGTATCCAGAGCAAATATCACATGCAAACAATATGCAATACGCCCTTTCCCCTCGCCAGTATCTTCTTTTACTAGACGACAACTAACGAAGAGAGAGTCTTGCAGTTCTTTTAACCAAAGAGTATGTTATCCGTTAACAAAATTAACGGTCTTTTCAGTCTCTGCGAAAATTTCTTTTCTTTTGACTACGTGCTACTGAATGTACAATTTCCAAAAGAACGACGAAATTCTTTCGCCGCCCATCAAGAGTTTAATTGTTAAGTAGATAATTATTCCATTGTATCTACCGGCTAAGAAGCGTTTCATGGTATATCTACTGTTTTCTTAAGTATCTCCATTAGCTCATGGGTACAGTGAGATTTCGGCCAGGGTGACGTTTCTAGAGCAAAAGTTGTCAAAACTACAAAACGAACAGGTAAGAGTATTTCTGTTAAATACATGATGTACTAAGTTTCATGTACTGCCTTTCTGATGGGAAACCAATAGCTGTTACATACCCTTATGGATTCCCCTGAAAGACAAGATAACCGTAAACGGGCCAAGACAGAACGAGAAAGTACTCGAATAAGTCAGAAATGAAAGGAAATTCTCATTTGGATTTGACATCTTTGATTCAACGTATGCTGATGCAGAGATACAAAATCCAAATCTTAATAAATCGTCTTAAGAAAGGTAGCGTGTTCTGTTTTTTCTCGTTCGTATGTTTGTTGTTTCTTTATTACGCGTTCAATTCTTTTCTGGATGTTCCTCGAGTCGGAAATGCTGCAACGAGCAGAGAACCCAGCAGATGTTACCTAAGCGTGAAGCCCCACAGATCAATATATCTAATGAAGCAGAAATACAGTCAGGATTGACGCGAAAAAGTTACTGGAAATGCCTTCCTCCTCTCTGCCCGTTTGGTAATGTCTACCAGCAGAGCTAATCCAGTTTTTTAAATCTTTGGTTGCGACAGGTTGTCTTGCCTAACGTGACTGGAAGTTCTCAAACTGAGTTTACCGTTACGGTATGCGATTCTAGCTATCTATCTTTTGAGTTGAAAATGGATTACAGAGAAAGTTTCTTTAGATTCTTTAGGATTGAATTTCCCATTGAATGTTTATTATTTCACACACCTGCAAGGAATCACATCTCACGGGAGCCTGTTGCAGATACTGTGCTTCTTTGAAATTATACTTGACACTCGTTGTCCCATTTTGACTCTTCTACCAGTGCACCCAAAACAGAATCGACGGATTATTTAGTGAAATTAAGTATAATAATCTTTATAACAACAGAGGGCTTTATGTTAGAAGTAATTCGTGCGAATTTTTTTTTATGTCTTCCTGAGTTTGGGCGACCGATACGATCGGTTCGAAAGTGCTTCTCTGCTATCTCTATGTAAACCCTTATCGCTGAGCAACTTTAATTTGTTTTTTGTTTGCAGTTTAACCAGACGGCTACAAGACTGCTTCAACAAGACATTTATTCATTGAAGGCCCTGGTGAATGATATGAATAGGACGATATCTGATAAGGTGTGGATGACATGATTTAAACCTTAGCTTTATTTTTTATTTAAACATTAGGAAACAAAATAAATGTTTTACAACCAGACTGAGATGAAGCGCTATGAAACCTGCATTGCCTTTGGTAAAAAAAATCTTGCTGATTTGGCTACAAAAATACAATGTTAATTTAATGCAGTCCGCCTTCGTGGATAACTGACTTCAAAACTACTGCAGCAAGCGAAAGCCTTGGAAACGAATTCATAATAGTCTATGTAGTTCCCATAAGTTACAGGTATATTACAAAGTAACCCACAGCCTTAGGAGCTGAGTTTTTTCCTGAGTTTTTCCTCATTTACCAGGGTGAATTGCAAAGACAAAAACAAACGAAAAACGATCAAAAACATCAAAAATACGAAGACCAACTAATTCATGGGATCATCATGTAAATCTTTCCTTAGATGAACCGAATCAGTTCATCTGGAGTTGGGGTTTATAAGTTGGCGAACCAAACAGAGGAGATTTTGAACAAATTTAAAAACCACACCGCAGGCTCTCTGACATCGGTAAGTACTACAAAATGATTTATAGATCTTTACAAAGTTTGAGTGAAGATGTTATTGGGAAAGATTTTGTAGGCAATTGCTGTCATGAGCTTTGAAATCCACGCGTCCTCATCGTGTAAATCAAATTCGAATCTTCCGCTCTACCTTTACTTGATACAGCTGTTACACTCCGTCCGATTTATGCTATTTGTCCGATTTGAGTTTCGAGATAGGAAAAAAGCTGGTTAATCTGATGGGATGTGATTAGAGGAGTTTCTTACCAATTCGTGTTTCAGATCGTAGCCATTAAAGCGAGAGAAACTCATGTTAAATAGAAAATTGACAAATGAAATGAACTTTTGGACAAAAAGCGAGTATTCATACCTTGAAGGGAGGTGCATACTTTTCCTTTTCTGTCTTTATTGACATTTCTGCATCAGCAGACAATCAGCGCTGGATAAACCATTCTGCTTGATAACAATTATAAAAATCGGGCTTAATTATCTCGGCAATATTTCACTGTGAAATGGGATGGATGGAACTTAGCTGTGTCCCGTTTTGAAGATAACGATTTGCTAAGACATGTCCGAAGACATTGAAATTATTCACTGCATTTTTCTCTTTTTTTATTTTTTGTTCAAACAGTTGATAAACGCAACAGATGCACTAAAACAAGAAGATGTGAAGCTGAGGACACTTTTGTCAGAATTTAACACCACCCTCTCTACCAAGGTAAATAGCAAAATTTCCAGATAACTAATCAAGCGTAGATATTACGCAATTAGCTGCAGGTCTCCTGGCGATAGTCACTTTTCAACTGGCCTCTAAGCTGTAGGGATGAGCAAGGAGCTCAGCCTTGACGAAGCTACTTTGGTTCCCTGAGGTGTTCTATCACACTTAATGTCTGTTTAGTCTGATCCGGGAAATTTTTTTCCACCTTGATGGAAATCAAATTGACTTTGCTTCAAGCTCGCAAGCGCTGGAAAATCAGTGTCTTTTAAGGGAGTGAAGGCTTTCACACGAATAAAAATTTAATGGAAAGGAAAGGAAAGGAAAGGGAAAAGGAAAAGAGAGATTAAGGGTAGGAGCCAACAGCCAGTTCGTGGCTGTCACGCGTTCGGTATGTGCACCACTGCCCTTTCAAGTCTAAATTAGAGACAAGAGATGCACATATTGTTGTTTTTCTCGAAACATCGTGTTGCAGATAGAGAATTTTAGCAAGCTACAAGGCCCAATTGGACCACGCGGTTTCAACGGCTCTAAAGGGGCGATTGGACCAGCCGGACCTCAGGGATTCAATGGAACAGAAGGTACCCAAGGGGTGATAGGCCCCCCAGGGTTTAATGGATCAGAAGGACCACCAGGGCCACAGGGACCAAACGGAGCAGGAGACTTCTCCCAGTGTGAACACAAGGAAGAGAATTTGAATGGAAACCAAGATCCAGTCACCAGCAACACTTTACCAAGTCCAATTAAAGTTGCCGTGGGTGAACCAAGTGTAAGTAACTTAAAAGGAGAGATTCACGACTATTCCCTTTATAGTTTTGTTGATAACGGGAAGTGTAAAGACGTTTTTCAGATTGTTTGCCTTACCTTGGCGCAGATGAAAACCTGAGTTACATTATCTAACGTGATACGCCAACATGGAATCACGCATGCTCTTATGATTGGACCACCCTTATATAGGTTCTTTGCCTCAGAAGTTAGATCGATCTGTTTCATCTACATCCTTTGATTTAAGTCTTCAAAATAAAGAATAGATGATAAATTATGAAAAGGGAGTAGTCAAATATTCTTCTCAATTTGTTGTCAGTCAGATAATTCAAGTTTTTTTTTCTTACTGTAGGGTAAAAAGATTGTTGGTGTCTCATGTTCAACAGACCGTGCTCAGCTTTCTCTGCTCTCGACCAAGATAGAAGCATCTAATAAACAGTTGTTCTACTACTGTAGCTGTTATGGTCATCATGGAACAGGCCAGGCTGCTATTCAGTGCGTCATGCATTACTGGGAATGTCCGCTGACCACATGAACACGAAAACGATTGGTGTTTTGATTGGGTGAAGAAACTTTACAATAAATTAAAAGGCCCAACATCTTTAATTGTTATCGTAGTTTCTAGGAGAAAAGTCAACAGAATTTTTTCGCAACATGTTAGCAGAGTTTCTGTCACTCCATCTTCCATGGTTTATTTGGGTATGTCACATGAAAGCCAGGGGCGTCAGGTACAGTGGGCTTAGCGGCAGTCGTATCTGAATAGAATACACCTTGGTTATGGTGAGGTAAAACAAATGAATATCTATTTGGCTGGGTTTTAAAATGTCTAAAAGGGAAAAATGCTAAAAAAATGGGCAGCTAGCGGATTTTAAAGGAATAGGTAAGGTCAAAAGGACTCCGTTTAGAAGGAGAAAGTACTGACCAATCCGGTGTATGGTGGCCAAGGGCTGTCACCCAAAATTTTACAATTTTTCAAAGAAAAATAAAAGAAAAATAAATCAAAACTGAAAGTAAAATAGAACGTGAGTGCAAAATAAAGGAAAAAGAACGATTGAAAGTAAAATGAAGAAGCAATCAAATTTAAAAGCAAAAGTCTTTCGCCGTGAATTGCCCTTGGATTTCAGTTTAATTTTGAAATGATTTTTACTTTGATAATGCAATTGCTTTTGCTTTTAAATTTGATTGCTAATTCATTTCACTTTCAATCGTTCTTTTTCCTTTGTTTTGCAGTCACGTTCCATTTTACTTTCAGTTTTGATTTATTTTTTCTTTTATTTTTTATTAAATCTTTGAAAAATTGTAAAATTTTGAGTGGCAGCCCTCGGCTACCATACCGGTGCCACGAATTTCACTCACGTGGACATATGTATCCCATGAAGTGAAATTTAGTTTTCTGATAAAACATTCAAGAAACATGCGATTCGCACGGGTCCTTACTTTACTACTGAAAGACCAGAAAACTTGACTAAAAAAAAAACATGATCGATTTTGATTACTTCAAGAGTAATGCATTAGCAGGAAAATTTCTTCTTTAATCTTAATCCTTTTCTTGATATGATCCTTTTATTAGGGACGTAGCTAGGGTGTTTTAAATCTTTTAACTTTTAAGAGCTGATTGTGAATTCTTCCATCTGATTGCGACACATTTCCTTGTAAATAAGTAACGAGATGTTGGTGTTATAACAAGATAACATCTCTACCTGATAAGTTTATTTATTCTTATTACCTGTTTCCTGGATAATGAATGGATTTTATTGAGAGAAGCTACATGTTAATCACTGCTGAGAGTTAAAGGGTCAACGAGTGTTACAGTCACGAATTTCCGCTCAGTCCACGGTAGGTGGCTTTTACTCCCTCTTTTCCGTGTGTATCGCGGGCTCGGATTTATATGGCGAGGGGACTGTACATATTATCAAGTCAGTGAAATAGAAGTCTTTAACCCTTTAACTCACAGGATCTGATTGCTTATTCTCCCCTCTAGGTGCTACATATTTTTCTGTAAATAAATTACGAGAATTTGGTTTTAGATCAAGATAACAACTTTTACCTGTTAAATTTAAGTGTTCTCATCACCTTTTTGCTGAATAATACATGGATATTGTAGGGAAGAATTTATTAGTTAATGACTTCTGAGAGTTTAAGGGTTGAATTCAGTTTTACGAAAACGTGTGAACACGAAGAGCTTCATAGCGCCAATATATTACGTTATGCCGGTTAGAAACCAATTGTGGCAAACACGGAAAAGTATTGGTACCATGTAGCTCTTCGTGAATTGAAAGACTTTTATTTTCAGTCACTTTTTTAAGGAAAACAAAAAAAAAATAGTAGCTTCGGGTTAGGTAGGGTTCGAGTCATCGAGGTGGATCTTGAATTTCAGTTATCCTGTTAACCCGTAATAGGGAGTGATGTTTTTGCTATTATTGTTCAATCAACAGCCGTTTTGATTCATTTAATTTGTTTCAGTAGAGTTTTTTGATAAGAACGTTTAGTCTGGAAGTTTAGCCAAATTTATATAATTATATAACAAAAATATATAGGCTGAGATGTTCATCGCAGAAGTAGAGGATATTTTAGTTTTTATTTTATAGTTACACTACTCTGCTGATCGAGTGATTCTGTGCGCGTTATTCAACTGTTCTTAAGGGTGTGACTGTTTTAAAGTACAGTTGTACTGTTTATTGGACGTCTGGCACGTGTACATAGAGCTATATATGTTACTTACACAATAAAACTGAAACTTGATTTTCAATACGCTGTATGCAATTTTCAAATTTCTGATGAAACTAAACTTTATTGAGCTTTCGAGGGCTTTAATTACGTTTTCATAAATGTTATCACGTTCATAATTCGCGATTAAAGGTTGGAACGTGTCAATCAGTCATGTTCTGACACTTAAGCGTTTATTGAACACCGTTTTTATTTAAAGCTCGAGTTATCGGGGAAAGTTTAGACCAAGGGAAAAAAGTAGTAAATTAGTAAAGTTAGTTCCGGTTATCGAGTAGTTCGATTAACAAGTACAAGTTAGCTGATTGTAAATGACTTGACGTCTGGTAACAAATCCAGGGGAAATCGGATTTTGTTTGAGTTTGCGGGGTTCTGCTGACAAAGGAAAAGAGGTGGGGGGGCGGGGGGTCTTCAGGACCTCTTTACGACCTCTCCAGCCCCTGTATTTACAAGCTGGTAACGGGCTCTCACTTTCCCCTTAACAACGATGATTATCTACAGATAAATGATATTGCTGCTGCTTCAGTCAAAACAAATTCAAAAAAAGAAACTCGGGTTTTCAGGGGGTCATTTTAACGTCAGATATCTAGTTACGCTTGCGTCTACCTCGCCAAACCTTCCAAAATACAACCGGTTAGAATTTTCACTTCATTTTCTCGCTGTTTTCATTATTTCACCATTCAGTGACTTGTTGAAATTACACTTATTAGAGATTTTACTTTACGTTTCTGTTCGTCAAGTTTCTCTCGCCTTTCTCTTTGGTTAAAATTTGACCAAAACCTCGCTCATTCGGTGCTAAACGACTTGGTCTCACCATATTTTTAACTTTTTACCTTCGAAGACGCAAATGGGCAAAAAGTTTGTTTGCGTTTTTTTGCACATTTTATAAAAATGAAGTCGTCAAGAACAAAAGGTAATTCTTGAAAAAGACATCGCAGAGAAGCAGACGTTTGAATGAATTATTTCATCACAATACCAATACGTGATAATTGTCGGTAAATTTCAATTGCTGGTAACAGGAACTTGTCATCATGCAGAGAGTGATAAATGATATTTGAAAACAGATTTTCGTCTTCATCTTTAAAATGAAAACGAGAAAATATTTTTATCCTTTTCTTTAGCGAAATATTAATCGCAGACTTCTCAGTCTCGATAAACACCAAAGCTTATAAAGAAAGAAAGTTTGTTATAATCGAATAGAAGTACGGTTGTTATGCCCTGCTTTGTTCACAGAAAAAAGCAAGCTTTTAACTTTCCCTATTACGGAAACTGGGGTTTCATCGTGCGTGGGGTCGTTTTGTGACCAAACGGGTCATCGTCAAGAGTTTATTTAGGCCCTGGAGAAACGTCCTAAAACACATTACGAAATCACAATTGACTGCAGGGGCTAATTTTATTTCATACCACAGAAACCGTTCTACAGAAGCAATATGTTCTCACACCCAGTGAATGTTTTTTGATTGTGTAAAACGTTACTACCTGGCCACTTGCGGTGAACAATCGTTACATAAATAATTTACCCTGGGAATAATGTGGGCAGAGATATTGTAAGTGTATCAAGCGTGAAATTTGTGCTAATAAGAAATTTGTTCAGAGCACACTCGACACGAGTCCTCTTAACAAGAACTTGACTACCACTGTGAAACGGAAAGGTTCTCATCCACAATGCAGGCTAACAGGGGGCGAATTGTTGTAAACCCATCTTTTCAAGAGTGGGTTTACTTGGATGAAAAATCTCCCCATGGTTTACAAACTCCAATGAAAAGGCAAGTTACGTATTGTGTAGAGGAGGAAATTGGTCGAAAAGAATTCGAAATTAAAGACGATCCGTGGAAACAACGCGATAACCAAAGTAAAGTTGACTTTGTTGAGGCGAAATCAAATGGACGATGCTGTCGAGCAGCAATACTGATGTCCATAATCATTGGGTCGTTGATGTCGATCGCTGCATTAGCGCTGGTTCTGCTGATGTTGTTTGGGAAAGTAGGAGCAGGTTGTGGGTGTCAGTCATCAAGTGAAGGTTAGAATATGGATAAAGATCTAACTTGAGAGTGTCAACATATATAAAAGCTCGCCAGGACATATTCTGGATCTCGAAAAATATAAGTGCAGTCGCGGTCCAATTATGTTTTGCTATCAGTGCTAAGGTCAGTCAAGCAGTTTGGCAGAGTTCAGTTGCCACGATGTACTGTACTGTAAGATGATACGTTGATTTCGCAAAAAATTGCTCAATCTTTGTTTCGCATTAGAACATTGTCATAACAAGTCTGTTCTGTGTTCTGTTTATTGGTGTTATTTTTCGTATCACAGCTATTTAATTGGAAAAAATCGTTGTATAAAAAAATGACGTTTCGGCGACGACATGTCACCATTATCAAATGCAAATTATAGTGAACGTTATATATACAATAGTAAGTGACAAATTACGTTAGAATAAACGAGGTGGGAATAAACAAAAGAATGGAAAAATGTTTTAAATAAACAGTTTTGCTGGAATGGAGTCATTTTGAGTGTTCAGTGTCGGTCTCTTTTTCCTTATCAAAAGCATCGGTAAAATTTCGGCACAGCCCCATACTACATTATGCATTCAGTTCTTGGATTGAGAAAACAATGACAAAAACAATAGATTGCTGGTTTTCACGTGACGTCACTAAATTTCAGACTTCAGAACTATTGATCCTCCTGAGATTTTACTTTCATGATGTATTAGAGCAGCTAAAAACTAATATTCAGACAAATTTTCACTCCAAATGGGTTCTTGGTTTAGTGATAGACTACTCTTGAATTTCTAAGCTTTTGCGTGACGTGGCCTTTACATGACGAGCGAGAGAGCTGTTATGTTGGTTTAAAAGGTGACTTATTTAGGGAAATTCAGCTATCTGAACAGTTCTTGTATTAGAATAAAGTATTATTGTTACGTTTATGAGTTCTTAGAGAGATAAATTCACGCTTTTGTAGCAAAACTCAGTGACAGATGTTTCTGCTGGTTTCCGGCCGCCATGTTGGTGCCCATCTAGGTGGGCACCAGCATGGCGGCTCCATACAAATCTCTATAAATTTGGGAAAAACGTTTCTCCTCATATTTTCCGTAAGAAAAATTGCTGTGACCTGAATCTTGGCGAGAGTCTTTACATATCTAGCTTCTTTCTATTTCCAGATTCTAGACTAAATCGATTGAACGGTTTTTATTTTTTATTTTGATCTATTTTGAATGGCGTGACACTGAAAACCAGCAATTGCCATTAGGAAAACAGATTTGTTTTACAATAGTATGGGGCTGTGCGGAAATTTTACCAAAGCATCTCGTAAATAAGGCACTCAAATTTTCCGTGGCATTTCTTTAAGATGGTAAACTGCTCGTGAAGATTGGTAGGTCTTTGATTGTGTTTATCCTGTAGGTGTTTACCGATGACGGAATACTTATGCTCCTCGATGCGCAGGTGGAGGTGACGGCTCGTGTAGCCTATTAATTCGAATCACACGAATTACATTGGAATTCATACACAACACATTGTTGGTTTACAAGTGAGGGCTTCGTTTCCGTAACTTTTAAATTTTCAGAGATTTTCTTACTTGTGAAAACTGGTTGTATTACACGATCGATTTTCTTTCCAAGGTAATTTGGTAAGGTAATTTGTCACTTACTATTGTATATATAACGTTCACAATCTTGTTATAATTTGCATTTGATAATGTGACATGTCGTCGCCGAAACGTCATGTTTTTATATCGCTACTCTTTATTCTAAAATGTTTCTCAAAACCTCTCATCATTAAAAATAGTTGTCAGATTTTTTACTTATTTCCAGCACTTGGCTCTATGGCTATAAAGACTTTGACAGCTGCGTTCAGATAGGCGGGAGAGAAGGCTTTTCAAAACATAAGATTACCAGATTCAATAGAGCGTGGAATGATCATGAGTCGACGAAATGAAAAGTATGAATTAAAAATTAGCTCGCACTTATACCTCATGATTGACAATTTACTTCGACCAATGAGAGGACTGTTCAATGTACGCTTGACGTTATACCAAAACTGTTTTGTTCGGCAATATTGCGAGACTGTTTACGGGGAAGCAAACAAAGGGGACAGGAAAGCAAAGTTTTTTAAGCGACCCTTCAAATACTTAACTCAACAGAAACGTATTCGTAGCTTGTGTAGAGCAGTCAAGCTCTATACTTAATTTTACCTTTCTTTCGTCGTTCAAAACAAACAGATTGCATTTCGCCGTGCTCCTGTTTAGTTACAATGAAGAAAAGAAACGAAACAAAAAAAAAATAGTAATGAGAACATCATTGACAGGGACGTGATCTCTTGCGAATGCTTTTTTCTTGCCACGAAAAGCAGAGTTGGATTAATAAGAGTGGAAAGATTATTTTTTGTTAAACATAATAGGAAAAAAGCTTATGTCCTCTCATTGAAGTGGATGTGGTTTAACTCAAATGTGCTGTTCTGTAATTGTTTTGTTTCAAATCTTCTTCAGTCAGTCCCTCCGCTGTTACTCAAAGAGATTTTTTAGCCTGGATAGAGGATCTCCAGAGGAACGTCACAAACCTTCAACAGAAACTGGTGAGAAAATGTAGTATAGTTGATGAATTTTGGTTACGCTTTTGGTCGCGATAAGTCTTCTATTCAGTGTACGCAAGGTCACATTTTTTAACTATGGAATAAGTCAGTTTCCAGATACTTCTTCATTTGCAGGAAAAGAAAACACATGAGCTCAAAGTTGTTCACTTATCGCTTCGAGATCTTGACGGAAAATTGCACAATTTGACAAACAAGGTAATGTATGCTAATAGTCCCACTTTTTCACGAAGAACTTGATTTCGCGGGGAAATTTGATACAGATTCCATCGGAAGTTCATTTTTTTGCTCTTGTTTGCTTTTAAGCTAAACGTCACTGAAACAGCCCTCCAGGAAAAAGACAACAAATTCCTCGTTCTTCTACTGAACACGACTTCAAATTTTCTTCTCAAGGTAATGAAAGCGATGTGCTTCGTTATCGTGTAAATAAGGAACTTTAGAGGAATGCTTTGAGATTACATAGTGGGTGCTGAGTTAAATTCTCTTCCTGATTGCACAGTGCAGGTTTGGTATTGCAATATTAAACTACAACCAATTCATTGCAATCAACAGTTGACCTGTTATGGCACAAGGTAAAAGAGTATAAGACAAAGAATTAATTTGTCGATTGAGACTGGAGTTGGAAAGTTTAACATCAAGTAAATAAAGGGGGTAAATTTCTAAAGTCGGTGAGGGACTGATAACAAGATAATTTGGTTTTATCAACTGAATTGATGCTGTAAATTGGCCTCTGTGAAAAGTTTCTAAGTTGATCTTACGAGCATTAGTGCGTACACGGAAGGTAAGCCCTTTTTTTTTTTTTTTTTTTTAAACATATTTATGCAGGATTGCTGCTTCATTTTTAAGAAAAAAAACTGCTATCAATGCAGGTCCTGTAAAAAATTAAAAAAATATAAAAATAAAAATAAAAAAGATTTAAAATATAGATAAAAATCAAATTACAATATTACAAAATAGTTTCACTAAACAAAAGATCGCACAGTTATAAATTCTAAGAATTATTAAAAATTATTAAAAATTTTTGCACCTTTGTAGAAAAAAGCGCGCTTGGTGCATTCTAAATTAATTTTTTCTAAAATAAGGTCATTATTATTTCTAGTTTTGTGGCGGTGAATGTCACGGTTTCTTACATTGAAATAATTAGAAAGGTATCTGGGGAACTCTATTTGCAATGCACTCATCAACAAATCTTAAAATGTGTGTCCGTCTTCTATAATAGAGAGGTTTCAAGCCCAGTTTAGTCATAATTTGATCAGTTGATAGTTTTGAGGCAGCTTTGAAGTAGACGATCCTCGCTGCTCGTCTTTGTAGTCGTTCAATCTTGTCACTGTTTCCTTGTCCACATTCATGCCACACAACATCACAATAATCTAGAACTGGGAGGACCATGGCTTTATAGAGTCTATTTGCAGCTTCTAGCGTAAGTGAAGGTCTTATTCTAGAGAACATTCCGAGTATCTTAGATACCTTCATCCTCACATAGTCCTTCGTCCTTCGCTCTGACGAAGTGCTAACGCTCGAAACGTCAGCTTGGAAAATCTTCGCGGTAGCTATTTGTATTCTGACTTCAAAACTACTGCAGCAAGCGAAAGCCTTGGAAACGAATTTATAATTGTCTATGTAGTTCCCATATGTTACAACTACAGGTATATTACAAAGTAACCCACAGCCTTAGGAACTGAGTTTTTTCTTGAGTTTTTCCTCATTTACCAGGGTGAATTGCAAAGACAAAAACAAACGAAAAACGATCAAAAACATCAAAAATACGAAAACCAACTAATTCATGTGATCATCATGTAAATCTTTCCTTAGATGAACCGAATCAGTTCATCTGGAGTTGGGGCCTATACGTTGGCGAATCAAACAGAGGAGATTTTGAACAAATTTAAAAACCACACTGCAAGCTCTCTAATATCGGTAAGTACTACAAAATGATTCATAGATCTTTACAAAGTTTGAGTGAAGATGTTATTGGGAAAGATTTTGTATGCAATCGTTGTTATCGTCCACTTTATGTTATTCAGTTGTCCGATTTGAGTTTTGAGACAGGGAAAAAAGCTTTTAATCTGATAGGACGTGGCCAGAGGAGTTTATTACCAATTCATATTTCATATCGTATTAATAACAGGAGCAAAACTTATGTTAAATAGAAAATTGACGAATGAAATGAACTTTTTGGACAAAAAGCGAGTATTTGTACCTCGAAGGGAGGTAAGTTGTTATAAAGCATAGCAAAGACTCCTTGCGCACTTTTCCTTTTCTGTCTTTATTGTCATTTCTGCATCAGCGGACAATTAACGCTGGATTAAACTTTCTTGCTTGATAAGAATTCCAAAAAATCAGGCCTTATTATCTCAGCAATATTTCACCGTGAAAATGCCACGGGTGGAACAAAGCTGTGTCCTGTTTTAAAGATAACGATTTGCCAAAACATGTCCGAAGACATTGACATTATTGAATGCATTTTTCTCTTTTTTTTTGTTCAAATAGTTGATAAACGTAACAGATGGACTAAAACAAGAAGATGTGAAGTTGAGGACACTTTTGTTAGAATTAAACACCACCCTCTCTACCAAGGTACAAGACGAAATTTGCAGATAACTAATCAAGCGTAGATATTAAGCAATTGGCCGCAGTTCTTCTAGCGATAATCAGTTCTCAACTGGCATCTAAGCTGAAGGGATGAGTTTGTGTCTGTTACGTCTGATTCGGAAATGTTTTCCACATTGAAGGTGTTCACTAAGGTGGTATTATGTCGAGCAATTTTTGCAAATCGTCTTTTTTTCTTTGATAAACCAAATTAACTTTGCTTCAAGCTCGCAAGCGCTGGAAAATCAATGTCATGAAGGGAGCGAGAGGCTTTCACACAAATAAAAATTCAAAGAAAAGGAAAGGAAAGGGAAAAAGAAAAGAAAGATCACGGATACGAGCCAACAGCAAGTTCGTAGCTGTCACGCGCTCAGTATGTGCACCTTTCAAGTTTAAATTAGAGAAAAGAGATACACAAATTGTTCCCTTTATCAAAAAATCATGTTGCAGATAGAGAATGTTAGTAAGCTCCAAGGCCCAATTGGACCGCGTGGTTTCAACGGCTCTCAAGGAGCGATTGGACCAGGCGGACCTCAAGGATTCAATGGTACACAGGGTACCCAGGGTGTTATAGGTCCCCCGGGGTTTAATGGATCAGAAGGACCACCAGGGCCACAGGGACCTAACGGAGCAGGAGACTTCTCCCAGTGTGAACACAAGACTGAGGATTTGTCTGGAAACCAAATTCCAGTCACCGGAAACAGTTTACCAACTCCAGTTAAAGTGATTAAGAGTGAACCAATTGTAAGTAAATTCAAAGGAAAGATTCAAGACTATTCCCTTTGTAATTTTGTTGATAACGGAAAGTGTAAGGACGTTTGTCAGACTGTTTGCCTAACCTTAACGCAAATGAAAACCTGGGTTAGCTGACGTGATACGCCAACATGGAATCATGCATGCTCATGTAATTGGACAACATATATGTAGGTCCTTTGTATCAGGAATTAGATCGATCCAAGTCTCCAAAATAAAGAATAGATGGTAAATTGTAAAACGGAAGTAGTCAAATAGTCTACTCTTTTTGTTGTCAGTCAAATAATTCAAGTATTTTATTTATTGCAGGGTAAGAGGATCGTTGGTGTCTCATGTACAACAGACCATGCTCAGCTTTATCTGCTCACAACCAAAACAAATCCATCTAATAATCAGTCGTTCTACTCCTGTAGCTGTTATGGTCATCATGGGAGTGGCCAGGCTTCTATTAAGTGCGTCATGCATTACTGGGAATGTCCGCAGACCACATGAACGCATGAACCGAACCTTTTTGTAACTGGAGCTCATGCAGTGCAACATTAGCCCTGCTCAACTATTCATAACTTCATCCCTGCATGTATGCAATAAGTTTCACACAAAAAAAAATGATTTGCAATTACTTCATTCTTTTTCATGTCCCATTGCTTTAAACAAGTGAGAGCCATTTTCAATTCCCCTTTTAAAAAATAATTCAAATAGTACGCGCGTTCTGATTACGCGCGTTCTAATTGGCCATAAAACCATTTTACATGAGCGTATGTAAACACGGTTTCCGTTCCTCTTTCATTAGTTATTTTATAAAAGAAATGTAAAATGGTTTCCGTGTTTACATAGCCTGATGTAAACACGCGGGAGGTTGGGAGAACACTCGATAAGCTGGAAACCACTCCGCTTCGCGTCGTGGTTTCCTACGCTTATCTCGTGTTGTCCCAACCTCCTGCGTGTTTACATCAGGCTATGTAAACACGGAAACCATTTTACATTTCTTCAAAATCACAGTGACTGCAGTCTTCCACTACGTTTATTGTGGCTTTTTTCCTCTGTGCTTTACGCCAAATTTATAAAAAAAATATATAGGCTGAGATATTCATCGCAGAAGAAAAGGATATTCTAGATTTTATTTTATAGTAAACTACATTGCTGACCAAGTGGTCCTATGCGCGTTATTCAACGTTTTTCAATACGCTGTACGCAATTTTCAAATTTCTGGTGAAACTAAACTTTATTGGGCTTTCTTGGCTTTAATTACGTTTTCATAAATGTTGCACGTTCATATAAATTGCGATTAAAGGTTGAACGTGTCAATCAGTCATGTTCTGATACTTTGACGTTTATTGAACGCCGTTTTTATTTAAAGCTCGAGTTATCGGGGATAGTTTAGACCAAGGGAAAAAATTAGTAAATTAGTAAAATTAGTTCCGGTTAACGAGTAGTTCGATTAACAAGTACAAGTTAGCTGATTGTAAATGACTTGACATCTGGTAACAAATCCAGGGGAAATCGCATTTTGTTTAAGTTTGCGAGGTTCTGTTGACAAAGGAAAGGAGGAGGGAGGTTTTCAGGACTTATTTACGACCTCTCCAGCCTCTGTATTTACAAGCTGATAACGGACTCTCACTTTCCACTTAACAACGATGATTATCTACAGATAAATGATATTGCTGTTGCTTCAGTCAAAACAAATTCATAAAAAGAAACTCGGGTTTTCAGGGGGTCATTTTAACGTCAGATATCTAGTTACGCTTGCAAATACAACAAAATACAGCAGGTTAGAATTTTTACTTCATTTTCTCACTGTTTTCAGTATTTCACCATTCAGTGATTTGTTGAAAATACAATTGTTAGAGATTTTACTTCGCGTTTCTATTCGTCAAGTTTCTCTCGCCTTTCTCTTTGGTTAAAATTTGACCAAAACCTCGCTCATTCGGTGCTTAACGACTTGGTCTCACCATATTTTTAACTTTTTACCTTCGAAGACGCAAATGGGTAAAAAGTTTGTTTGCGTTTTATTGCACATTTTATAAAAATGAAGTGGTCAAGAACAAAAGGTAATTCTTGAAAAAACCATCGCAGAGAAGCAGAAGTTTGAATGAATTATATCATCACAATACCAATACGTGATAATTGTCGGTAAATTTCAATTGCTGGTAACAAGAACTTGTCATCATGCAGAGAGTGATAGATGATATTTGACAACAGTTTTTCGTCTTCATCTTGAAAAGGAAAACGAGAAAATTTGTTTATCCTTTTCTTTAGCGAAATATTAATCGCAGACTTCTCAGTTCGAACAGCGAAGAATCTATATTGATTTGTCTCGATAAACACCAAAGCTTATAAAGAAAGAAAGTTTGTTATAATCGAATAGATATACGGTTGTTATGCCCTGCTTTGTTCACAGTAAAAAGCAAGCTTTTAACTTTCCCTATTACGGAAACTGGGGTTTTATCGTGCGTGGAGTCGTTTTGTGACCAAATGGGTGATCGTCAACAGTTTATTTAGGCCCTGGAGAAACTTCCTAAAACACATTACGAAATTACAGTAACTGCAAGGGCTAATTTTATTTCATACCACAGAAACCGTTCCACAGAAGCAATATGATCTCACACCCAGTGAATGTTTCTTGATTGTGTAAAACGTTACTACCTGGCCACTTGCGGTGAACAATCGTTACATAAATAAATTACCCCAGGAACAATATGGGCAGAAATATTGTAAGTGTATCAAGTGTGAAATTTGTGCTAATAAGAAATTTGTTCAGAGCACACTCGACACGAGTCCTCTTAACAAGAACTTGACTACCACCGTGAAACGGAAAGGTTCTCATCCACAATGCAGGCTAACCGGGGGCGAATTGTTGTAAACCCATCTTTTCAAGAGTGGGTTTACTTGGATGAAAAATCTCCCCATGGTTTACAAACTCCAATGAAAAGGCAAGTTACGTATTGTGTAGAGGAGGAAATTGGTCGAAAAGAATTCGAAATTAAAGACGATCCGTGGAAACAACACAATTACAAAAGTAAAGTTGACTTTGTTGGGGCGAAATCAAATGGAAGATGCTGTCGAGCAGCAATACTGATGTCCATAATCATTGGGTCATTGATGTCGATCGCTGCATTAGCGCTGGTTCTGCTGATGTTGTTTGGGAAAGTAGGAGCAGGTTGTAGGTGTCAGTCATCAAGTGAAGGTTAGAATATGGATAAAGATCTAATTTGAGAGTGTCAACATATATAAAAGCTCGCCAGGACATATTCTGGATCTCGAAAAATATAAGTGCGGTCGCGGTCCAACTATGTTTTGCTATCAGTGCTAAGGTCAGTCAAGCAGTTTGGTAGAGTTCAGTTGCCACGATGTACTGTATTGTAAGATGATACGTTGATTTCGCAAAAAATTGCTCAATCTTTGTTTCGCATTAGAACATTGTCATAACAAGTCTGTTCTGTGTTCTGTTTATTGGTGTTATTTTTCGTATCAGAGCTATTTAATTGGAAAAAATAGTTGTTAGATTTTATTTATTTCCAGCACTTGGCTCTATGGCTATAAAGACTTTGACAGCTGCGTTCAGATAGGCGGGAGGGAAGGCTTTTCAAAACATAAGATTACCAGATTAAATAGAGCGTGGAATGATCATGAGTCGGCGAAATGAAAAGTATGAATTAAAAATTAGCTCGCACTGATACCTCATGATTGACAATTTACTTCGACCAATGAGAGGACTGTTCAATGTACGCTTGACGTCATACCAAAACTGTTTTGTTTGGCAAGATTGCGAGACTGTTTACGGGGAAGCAAAGTTTTTTAAGCAACCCTTCAAATACTTAACTTAACAGAAACGTATTCGTAGCCTGTGTAGAGCAGTCAAGCTCTATACTTAATGTTACCTTTCTTTCGTCGTTCAAAACAACAGATTGCATTTCGCCGTGCTTCTGTTTAGTTACAATGAAGAAAAGAAACGAAACAAAACAAAAATAGTAATGAGAACATCATTGACAGTGACGTGATCTCTTGCGAATGCTTTTTTCTTGCCACGAAAAGCAGAGTTGGATTAATAAGAGTGGAAAGATTATTTTTTGTTAAATATAATAGGAAAAAAAGCTTATGTCCTCTCGTTGAAGTGGATGTGGTTTAACTCCAATGTGCTGTTCTGCAATTATTTTGTTTCAAATCTTCTTCAGTCAGTCCCTCCGCTGTTACTCAAAGAGATTTTTTAGCCTGGATAGAGGATCTCCAGAGGAACGTCACAAACCTTCAACAGAAACTGGTGAGAAAATGTAGTATAGTTGATGAATTTTGGTTACGCTTTTGGTCGCGATAAGTCTTCTATTCAGTGTGCGCAAGGTCTCATTTTTTAACTGTGGAATAAGTCAGTTTCGAGATACTTCTTCATTTGCAGGAAAAGAAAACACATGAGCTCAAAGTTGTTCACTTATCGCTTCGAGATCTTGACGGAAAATTGCACAATTTGACAAAGAAGGTAATGTACGCTAATAGTCCCACTTTTTCACGAAAAACTTGATTTCGCGGGGAAGTTTGATACAGATTCCATCAGAAGTTCATTTTTTTGCTCTTGTTTGCTTTTAAGCTAAACATCACTGAAACAGCCCTCCAGGATAAAGACAACAAATTCCTCGTTCTTCTACAGAACACGACTTCAAATTTTCTTCTCAAGGTAATGAAAGCGATGTGCTTCGTTATCGTGTAAATAAGGAACTTTAGAGGAATGTTTGGGATTACCTAGTGGGTGCTGAGTTAAATTCTCTTCCTGATTGCACAGTGCAGGTTTGGTATTGCAATATTAAACTACAACCAATTCATTGCAATCAACAGTTGACCTGTTATGGCACAAGGTAAAAGAGTATAAGACAAAGAATTAATTTGTCGATTGAGACTGGAGTTGGAAAGTTTAACATCAAGTAAATAAAGGGGGTAAATTTCTAAAGCAACTGTGGTGCTGCGTCGGTGAGGGACTGATAACAAGATAATTTGGTTTTATCAACTGAATTGATGCTGTAAATTGGCCTCTGTGAAAAGTTTCTAAGTTGATCTTACGAGCATTAGTGCGTACACGGAAGGTTAGCCCTTCGTCCTTCGCTCTGACGAAGTGCTAACGCTCGAAACGTCAGCTTGGAAAATCTTCGCGGTAGCTATTTGTATTCTGAGTTAAAAACTACTGCAGCAAGCGAAAGCCTTGGAAACGAATTTATAATTGTCTATGTAGTTCCCATATGTTACAACTACAGGTATATTACAAAGTAACCCACAGCCTTAGGAACTGAGTTTTTTCCTGAGTTTTCCTCATTTACCAGGGTGAATTGCAAAGACAAAAACAAACGAAAAACGATCAAAAACATCAAAAATACGAAAACCAACTAATTCATGTGATCATCATGTAAATCTTTCCTTAGATGAACCGAATCAGTTCATCTGGAGTTGGGGCCTATACGTTGGCGAATCAAACAGAGGAGATTTTGAACAAATTTAAAAATGATTCATAGATCTTTACAAAGTTTAAGTGAGGATGTTATTGGGAAAGATTTTGTATGCAATCGTTGTTATCGTCCACTTTATGCTATTCAGTTGTCCGATTTGAGTTTTGAGACAGGGAAAAAAGCTTTTAATCTGATAGGACGTGGCCAGAGGAGTTTATTACCAATTCATATTTCATATCGTATTCATAACAGGAGCGAAACTCATGTTAAATAGAAAATTGACGAATGAAATGAACTTTTTGGACAAAAAGCGAGTATTTGTACCTCGAAGGGAGGTAAGTTGTTATAAAGCATAGCAAAGACTCCTTGCGTACTTTTCCTTTTCTGTCTTTATTGTCATTTCTGCATCAGCGGACAATTAACGCTGGATTAAACTTTCTTGCTTGATAAGAATTCCAAAAAATCAGGCCTAATTATCTCAGCAATATTTCACCGTGAAAATGCCACGGGTGGAACAAAGCTGTGTCCTGTTTTAAAGATAACGATTTGCCAAAACATGTCCGAAGACATTGACATTATTGAATGCATTTTTCTCTTTTTTTTGTTCAAACAGTTGATAAACGCAACAGATGGACTAAAACAAGAAGATGTGAAGTTGAGGACACTTTTGTTAGAATTAAACACCACCCTCTCTACCAAGGTACAAGACGAAATTTGCAGATAACTAATCAAGCGTAGATATTAAGCAATTGGCCGCAGTTCTTCTAGCGATAATCAGTTCTCAACTGGCATCTAAGCTGAAAGGATGAGTTTTCCCAAGAAGTTCTGTCACACTTTGTGTCTGTTACGTCCGATCCGGAAATGTTTTCCACATTGAAGGTGTTCACTAAGGTGGTATTATGTCGAGCAATTTTTGCAAATCGTCTTTTTTTCTTTGATAAAACCAAATTAACTTTGCTTCAAGCTCGCAAGCGCTGGAAAATCAATGTCATGAAGGGAGCGAGAGGCTTTCACACAAATAAAAATTCAAAGGAAAGGAAAGGAAAGGGAAAAAGAAAAGAAAGATCACGGATACGAGCCAACAGCAAGTTCGTAGCTGTCACGCGTTCAGTATGTGCACCTTTCAAGTTTAAGTTAGAGAAAAGAGATACACAAATTTTTCCCTTTATCAAAAAATCATGTTGCAGATAGAGAATGTTAGTAAGCTCCAAGGCCCAATTGGACCGCGTGGTTTCAACGGCTCTCAAGGAGCGATTGGACCAGGCGGACCTCAAGGATTCAATGGTACACAGGGTACCCAGGGGCTTATAGGCCCCCCGGGGTTTAATGGATCAAGAGGACCACCAGGGCCACAGGGACCTAACGGAGCAGGAGACTTCTCCCAGTGTGAACACAAGACTGAGGATTTGACTGGAAACCAACATCCAGTCACCGGCAACAGTTTACCAACTCCAGTTAAAGTGATTAAGCGTGAACCAATTGTAAGTAAATTCAAAGGAAAGATTCAAGACTATTCCCTTTGTAATTTTGTTGATAACGGAAAGTGTAAGGACGTTTGTCAGACTGTTTGCCTTACCTTAACGCAAATGAAAACCTGGGCTATCTGACGTGATACGCCAACATGGAATCATGCATGCTCATGTAATTGGACAACATATATTTAGGTCCTTTGTATCAGGAATTAGATCGATCTAAGTCTCCATAATAAAGAGTAGATGGTAAATTATTAGACAGAAGTAGTCAAATAGTCTACTCTTTTTGTTGTCAGTCAAGTAATTCAAGTATTTTTTTATTGCAGGGTAAGAAGATCGTTGGTGTCTCATGTACAACAGACCATGCTCAGCTTTATCTGCTCACGGCCGTAAAAGACCCATCTAATAATCAGTTGGTCTACCACTGTAGCTGTTATGGTCACCATGGAAGTGGCCAGACTTCTATTGAGTGCGTCATGCATTACTGGGAATGTCCGCTGACCACATGAACGCATGAACTGAACCTTTTTGTAAAGCTCATGCAGTGCACCATTAGCCCTGCTCAACTACTCATAAATTCATCCCTGCATGTATGCAATAAGTTTCAAACAAAAAAAATTTGATTTGCAATTACTTCATTCTTTTTCATGTCCCATTGCTTTAAACAAGTGAGAGCCATTTTCAATTCCCCTTTTAAAAAATAATTCAAATAGTACGCGCGCTCTGATTGGCCATAAAACCATTTTACATGAGCGTATGTAAACACGGTTTTCGTTCCTCTTTCATTAGTTATTTTATAAAAGAAATGTAAAATGATTTCCGTGTTTACATAGCCTGATGTAAACACTTGGGAGGTTGGGAGAACACGAGATAAGCTGGAAAGCACTCCGCTTCGCGTCGTGGTTTCCTACGCTTATCTCGTGTTCTCCCAACCTCCCGCGTGTTTACATCAGGCTATGTAAACACGGAAACCATTTTACATTTCTTCAAAATCACAGTGACTGAAGTCTTCCACTACGTTTATTGTATCTTTTTTTCTCTGTACTTTTCGCCAAATTTATAAAAAAAATATATAGGCTGAGATATTCATCGCAGAAGAAAAGGATATTTTAGATTTTATTTTATAGTAAACTACATTGCTGACCGAGTGGTCCTGTGCGCGCTATTCAACGGTTTTCAATACGCTGTATGCAATTTTCACATTTCTGACGAAACTAAACTTTATTGGGCTTTCTTGGCTTTAATTACGTTTTCATAAATGTTGCACGTTCATATAAATTGCGATTAAAGGTTGAACGTGTCAATCAGTCATGTTCTGATACTTTGACGTTTATTGAACGCCGTTTTTATTTAAAGCTCGAGTTATCGGGGAAAGTTTAGACCAAGGGAAAAAATTAGTAAATTAGTAAAATTAGTTCCGGTTAACGAGTAGTTCGATTAACAAGTACAAGTTAGCTGATTGTAAATGACTTGACATCTGGTAACAAATCCAGAGGAAATCGCATTTTGTTTGAGTTTGCGAGGTTCTGTTGACAAAGGAAAGGAGGAGGGAGGTTTTCAGGACCTATTTACGACCTCTCCAGCCTCTGTATTTTACAAGCTGATAACGTGCTCTCACTTTCCCCTTAACAACGATGATTATCTACAGATAAATGATATTGCTGCTGCTTCAGTCAAAACAAATTCAAAAAAAGAAACTTGGGTTTTCAGGGGGTCATTTTAACGTTAGATATCTAGTTACATTTGCGTCTACCTCGCCAAACCTTCCAAAATACAACAGGTTAGAATTTTCACTTCATTTCCTCGCTGTTTTCAGTATTTTACCATTCAGTGATTTGTTCAAATTACACTTATTAGAGATTTTACCTCACGTTTCTGTTCGTCAAGTTTCTCTCGCCTTTCTCTTTGGTTAAAATTTGACCAAAACCTCGCTCATTCGGTGCTAAACGACTTGGTCTCACCATATTTTTAACTTTTTACTTTCGAAGACGCAAATGGGCAAAAAGTTTGTTTGCGTTTTTATGGACATTTAATAAAAATGAAGTCGTCGAGAACAAAAGGTAATTCTTGAAAAAGACATCGCAGAGAAGCAGACGTTTGAATGAATTATATCATCACAATACCAATACGTGATGATTGTCGGTAAATTTCAATTGCTGGTAACAGGAACTTGTCATCATGCAGCGAGTGATAAATGATATTTGAAAAAAGTTTTTCGTCTTCATCTTTAAAAGGAAAACGAGAAAATTTTTTTATCCTTTTCTTTAGCGAAATATTAATCGCAGACTTCTCAGTTCGAACAGCGAAGAATCTATATTGATTTGTCTCGATAAACGCCAAAGCTTATAAAGAAAGAAAGTTTGTTATAATCGAATAGAAGTACGGTTGTTATGCCCTGCTTTGTTCACAGTAAAAAGCAAGCTTTTAACTTTCCCTATTACGGAAACTGGGGTTTTATCGTGCGTTTTGTGACCAAATGGGTCATCGTCAACAGTTTATTTAGGCCCTGGAGAAACGTCCTAAAACACATTACGAAATTACAATAACTGCAAGGGCTAATTTTATTTCATACCACAGAAACCGTTCCACAGAAGCAATATGATCTCACACCCAGTGAATGTGTCTTGATTGTGTAAAACGTTACTACCTGGCCACTTGCGGTGAACAATCGTTACATAAATAAATTACCCCAGCAACAATATGGGCAGAAATATTGTTAGTGTTTCAAGTGTGAAATTTGTGCTAATAAGAAATTTGTTCAGAGCACACTCGACACGAGTCCTCTTAACAAGAACTTGACTACCACTGTGAAACGGAAAGGTTCTCATCCGCAATGCAGGCTAACGGGGGGCGAATTGTTGTAAACCCATCTTTTCAAGAGTGGGTTTACTTGGATGAAAAATCTCCCCATGGTTTACAAACTCCAATGAAAAGGCAAGTTACGTATTGTGTAGAGGAGGAAATTGGTCGAAAAGAATTCGAAATTAAAGACGATCCGTGGAAACAACACAATTACAAAAGTAAAGTTGACTTTGTTGGGGCGAAATCAAATGGACGATGCTGTCGAGCAGCAATACTGATGTCCATAATCATTGGGTCATTGATGTCGATCGCTGCATTAGCGCTGGTTCTGCTGATGTTGTTTGGGAAAGTAGGAGCAGGTTGTGGGTGTCAGTCATCAAGTGAAGGTTAGAATATTGATAAAGATCTAATTTGAGAGTGTCAACATATATAAAAGCTCGCCAGGACATATTCTGGATCTCGAAAAATATAAGTGCGGTCGCGGTCCAACTATGTTTTGCTATCAGTGCTAAGGTCAGTCAAGCAGTTTGGTAGAGTTCAGTTGCCACGATATACTGTACTGTAAGATGATACGTTGATTTCGCAAAAAATTGCTCAATCTTTGTTTCGCATTAGAACATTGTCATAACAAGTCTGTTCTGTGTTCTGTTTATTGGTGTTATTTTTCGTATCACAACTATTTAATTGGAAAAAATAGTTGCCAGATTTTATTTATTTCCAGCACTTGCAAAGATCTTCTCTCAATTCTCTATGGCTATAAAGATTTTGACAGAATTTTGAGAGAAGGCTTTTCAAAACAATAGATTACCAGATTCAATAGAGCGTGGAGTGATCATGAGTCGACGAAATGAAAAGTATGAATTAAAAATTAGCTCGCACTTATACATATATAAACCTCATGATTGACAATTTACTTCGACCAATGAGAGGACTGTTCAATGTACACCTGACGGCATACCAAAATTGTTTTGTTTGGCAAGATTGCGAGACTGTTTACGGGGAAGCAAACAAAGAGCAAAATTTTTAATCGACCCTTCAAATACTTAACTTAACAGAAACGTATTCGTGGCTTGTGTAGAGCAGTCAAGCTCTATACTTAATGTTACCTTTCTTTCGTCGTTCAAAACAAACAGATTGCATTTCGCCGTGCTTCTGTTTGGTTACAATGAAGAAAAGAAACGAAACAAAACAAAAATAGTAATGAGAACATCATTAACAGTGACGTGATCTCTTGCGAATGCTTTTTTCCTGCCACGAAAAGCAGAGTTGGATTAATAAGAGAGGAAAGATTATTTTTTGTTAAACATAATAGGAAAAAAGCTTATGTCCTCTCATTGAAGTGGATGTGGTTGAACTCAAATGTGCTGTTCTGTAATTATTTTGTTTCAAATCTTCTTCAGTCAGTCCCTCCGCTGTTACTCAAAGAGATTTTTTAGCCTGGATAGAGGATCTCCAGAGGAACGTCACAAACCTTGAACAGAAACTGGTGAGAAAATGTAGTATAGTTGATGAATTTTGGTTACGCTTTTGGTCGCGATAAGTCTTCTATTCAGTGTGCGCAAGGTCTCATTTTTCAACTGTGGAATAAGTCAGTTTCCAGATACTTCTTCATTTGCAGGAAAAGAAAACACATGAGCTCAAAGTTGTTCACTTATCGCTTCGAGATCTTGACGGAAAATTGCACAATTTGACAAAGAAGGTAATGTACGCTTATAGTCCCACTTTTTCACGAAAAACTTGATTTCGCGGGGAAATTTGATACAGATTCCATCGGAAATTAATTTTTTGCTCTTGTTTGCTTTTAAGCTAAACATTACTGAAACAGCCCTCCAGGATAAAGACAACAAATTCTTCGTTCTTCTACAGAACACGACTTCAAATTTTCTTCTCAAGGTAATAAAAGCGATGTGCTTCGTTATCGTGTAAATAAGGAACTTTACAGGAATGCTTTGAGATTACATAGTGGGTGCTGAGTTAAATTCTCTTCCTGATTGCACAGTGCAGGTTTGGTATTGCAATATTAAACTACAACCACTTCATTGCAATCAACAGTTGACCTGTTATGGCACAAGGTAAAAGAGTATAAGACAAAGAGTTAATTTGTCGATTGAGACTGGAGTTGGAAGGTTTGACATCAAGTAAATAAAGGGGGTAAATTTCTAAAGCAACTGTGGTGCTGCGTCGATGAGGGACTGATAACAAGATAATTTGGTTTTATCAACTGAATTGATGCTGTAAATTGGCCTCTGTGAAAGGTTTCTAAGTTGACCTTACGAGCATTAGCGCGTACACGGAAGGTTAGCCCTTCGTCCTTCGCTCTGACGAAGTGCTAACGCTCGAAACGTCAGCTTGGAAACTCTTCACGGTGGCTATTTGTATTGTCAACTCAGTTGCTAAAATCAAATTATCCTCCTCAAGTAGCATGCTTTAGGCGCTCAGTCAGTAAAACGAGGCGCAATGATAAGCGGCGCAAAAGAGGCGGAGAAGAGAAAAAACGTGGGAGGCCTGGGTTCGGTTGGGTAATTATTTACTCGAGCAGACCCGACCCTCGCTATCAGAGAGCAGAAGCAAACACGAGGGTTGAAGAATATGGTCAACGGAGAAGCAAGTACATAATTAACTCCAATGTCCATGCACTTTTTGTTTTCAGACAGATTTAATCAGATATGATCTTAACTCAACACGAAATTGGGTGTTAGCCTCCGACGCTGAATTAAAGAACGAACTGGAGGCTGTGAACACAACTCTGATATTGAAGGTTTCTTTTACAAACATAACAATCATGTTCGCTTGCTAAGAACTCACTCATTTTTGTTTTCAAGTTCTCCTCTATTACATAATTCATACTCATCAAAAGCTGATTAACATACACAGAACCGGTTTTTGAGTGGGTGTCTAAGCGCTGCACCGGTATCGCAGAGGTCATGGGTTCAAATCCCGTACGGGCCTGAATTTTTTTTCAGGTCCTATTTACAACTACTAGTTTCAGTAGTGTTCTTAGCTGCGAGGATCTTCTAATTTCATCACTTCAGTTTGTTAGCTTAAGAATGCTCCAAATGTTCGATCGATCAATTTGAAAGTTTAAACGAATCATGACCAAGATACTTTTACGTTTTGGGGACAAGCCACAAGAATTAAACTCAAACTGGAAGGGAAGGGTGGCTTGAAAAGGACAGGGAAGTTCCTACACGTCACTAAGTTTTGTGTTGTGTTCAGACTTGTTCGTGGCTCATCTACATAGAAGTACAATAAAAGATTGTACTTTAAAAAAGTGATTTTCTTTTACTGAATAAAAAATAATTCTATAATTACGAACACACAATTTAGTAGCTTAATAGGATTACTCTTTAGGGCATTCCATTGCAACTGTGTGATAATTATTATGTTTGTCAGCTCAACAGTACGGCTGAAAGACTTGATCGAGAGGATATCAGTACAATAACTCTACTTAACGACATCAACTCAACATTGTCCTTAAAGGTACCTGAATTTGGCAGTTTAAGTTATTTTAAGCAAACTTTCAATCTGCCTTGAGAGGGCAAAACATCCAACCAGAACCATTACACCTAACGAAGTAAAGCGCAACATAGACAAAGGGACGCGTGCGCAAAACATTTGTGCACTTTCAAATCGCTGTATATCTGAATATATACGACAGCAGATGATTGACGAAGCCCGCACTGCTATCTATATTCAACTCAGAGATTAATTCTTACGAGCTCCGATTGTAGTAATGATAATCTCTTTAGTTTTAACAATTGATTAGGGCAAATAAAATTTGTTTTATTGTATCAAAAAAGGTCTTTTTCCGCAGTTAGAGAATGTGAGTAAGATCCCCGTTGGACCACGCGGTTTCAACGGCTCTCAAGGACCGATTGGACCAGCGGGACCTCAGGGATTCAATGGAACACAGGGTTCCCAGGGTTTTAACGGATCACAAGGGCCACAGGGACCCAAAGGAGCTGGAGACTTCTCCCAGTGTGAACATAAGACTGAGGATCTGGTTGGAAATCAATCTCCAATCACCAGCAACAGTATAGCAAATCCAGTTAAAGTGATTAAGGGTGAACCAAGGGTAAGTAGCTTCAAAGGAGAGATTCACGACTATTCGCTTTGTAGTTTTGTTGATAACGAGAAGTGTAAGGACGTTTGTCAGATTGTTTGGCTTACCTTTACGCAGATGAAAACCTGGGTTATGCAATCCTGGGTGAACCAAGTGTAAGTACAATTAGAAGAAGATATTCAAAACTATTCTTGAAAACAAATTAAAGTGGTTAGGGCTGGTTATCCAACTTGTTTGCCTTGCCTTCATGCCAATAAATTCTTGAGTCTTTCTGAGTCCATCTGACGTATGTGCTAACATCAAATGTGATAATGGTAAACCAAATGTAAGCATGCTCAAAGGAAGATTTCTACATTTATTCCTTTCATGATTTAGCTGATAACAGGATATTTAAGGCTAGTCGCTCGACTGGTTTGCCTCACCTCTCTATAAATGAACTCATAGGTCTTTGAAGTGACGTCATATGGCGTGATAAGCAATTACTGTGTCACGTATGCTTACACGACTGGACTCTGGTATTTTTCCTCCATTTTCCTCCAAAATAAATGAACAAATTAATCAATTCCTTTAATAAACAGGAACATACAACTGTACTCTCCAACAACACTTTTGTCTAATTTAATTCTACACTTCTTTATCAAATTTCGTTAAAATATACCGACATATTGAGCTAAATTAAATTTTCACAAGAATTTATGGGAAACACCAAATTTTTCAAATTAGAGAATAGTCTTGTTTAGTTACATTTTTTATATTCGAGTTCGTTTATTTACCTTTGCAGGGTAAAAAGATTGTTGGTGTCTCATGTTCAACAGACCTTGCGCAGCTTTATCTGCTCTCGACCCGAACAAATCTATCTAATAATCAGTTGTTCTACTACTGTAGCTGTTATGGCCATCATGGAACTGGCCTGGCTTCTATTCAGTGCGTCATGAATTACTGGGAATGTCCGCTGACCACGTGAACACGAAAACGAATGGTGTTTTGACAGGGCGGAAAAAAAACTTTGCTATGTCGAAACCTAGCTGTATTACAACGAGTTCTAGATCTGAATTCGTACTGATATTGGTAATAACATGATTTCGAGTGTAATATGGTGCTAATTAGCGCGGGTAAACTTTTCAAAGACAGCAAAATTGCGTGAACTCGTAGGGCGAGTGCAATTGGTAGCCTGAAAAATTTTCAAGTGCTTATTTACACCAAATTGCGCAAGAAATCGTGTTTTCACCTATTGATAATTTACATGAAAAAAAAAAACAAAACAAAGCACGCGCCCGTATTTTAAATTTTTACTTGGTTTACAACTTTGCACTCGTGTTTCATGAAAAATGCCTCGTTTCCAGCCAATTAGAAGCATGTCGTTTTTTCATTTCTATCATTTGTCGTGTCTTTTCCCGCGTTTTTGAAACAATTTTTTGAAATTATGATAATTCATTTTTTGGGGGGGGCCCCCTGCGAGGCGAGTAGGTTGATGCGGAAAGCTGCCGCTTGGTCAGAGCTGTTTCCTCGAAATTGCATTACATTTTCTCTTTGGTAGCATAAATGTTGAACATACATGTCCAAAGTAGTTGTAGAAATCAAGTTGTTGTCGATTACATCAAAAGATAGAGGAAAAGCGACCTAAGTTTGTACCTGGTTTCATGTTTGCTTTGAATGACAAAGCGAGGGATATTTTCCTTTTTCTGATACTCCACATTATTACCATGGAAATATAAAGACAACGTATTTTTAAGAAGTTAAATTGCGCTCAATATAAGGAACAAAGTAACAAAGTTTACGAAGTAATTGTTGTCGAAGATAAACGAATATTTCGCTTATTGGAATATTATAAGACAGCCAATCAGTTAGAATATCGTTTTTTGGCCCACCACCTTTTTTTCCAAAAAACCGATCGTTTCGTATCGAATAACACTCGTCGCACTTTGTAAAAAAGCAAAAAAGTCTGTCTTACTTTTTAATAAGAGACCGTCGTTCTTTGTAATTAATTAAGCTGTGTAATAACCTGGGCAAATAGACCCGATAATATCTGTCAATCCTGTTAATAATGATGACGATAATGGCAACGATAATGACAATAATAATGATGATGACAGTGATAACGATAATTATTCTGATAGCAATAGTACCGGTGGTGATGGAGATGATGACGAGAATGAAAATTGTGATATTGATTATAACGAAAATTAGAAAAGTGAAAATATGTCCCTCAACGAAAACACCAACCGCGAGTCTTGATTTGTCAGGGTACGTGGCAGTATTATTGAAAGTAAACTGAATAACACATGCGTGATCTCTTTTCGACTCGTTACAACTTATTTTGCAGCTTGCTTTAACACTTATTGGCACGTAAGGGTTCTGGAAAATTAAAAAACTTAATTAAATTCAGCTTTATTGCTTTCGTTTTACACAAGGCTGACAGTTAGCCGGGTTTGTTAGGAAAATAGATAGAACAAAATTTTCTTGACGGATGATATGAGACTTGCCTTTTGTTGAATTAGTATGCTAAGCGATGATAATATTTTCTTTGTCGTTGTTAGTAATTATAATTCACATAATGGATGGTTTCTGAAGCATACGGCGTCTAAAAAAAGTCCATTTGTCATTTATTCTCTAAATAGCAATAAAGGAAACCGCCAGCATTTAGTTTCAATTAATTCATTGGACTTCGATGAGTCATCTCTTTTCAGCCAGATGTTCACAGGCGGACATTGAGAGAGCTTCAGTAAGGCTGACAGTTAGCCGGGTTTGTTAGGAAAATAGATAGAACAAAATTTTCTTGACGGATGATATGAGACTTGCCTTTTGTAGAATTAGTATGCTAAAAAGTCCATTTGTCATTTATTCTCTAAATAGCAATAAAGGAAACCGCCAGCATTTAGTTTCAAATAATTCATTGGGCTTCGATGAGTCATCTCTTTTGAGCCAGATGTTCACAGGCGGACAATGAGAGAGCTTCGGTAAAAAAAAACTAAGTTCAAAGTGCGAATTTTTATGATTGATAGTATAGCATTTGTAAAGACTATCACAGAAGTTAAAAAAAGAGATAGAATTCAGATTGAATGGCCCTGATCTAACGAGGAATTGAATTAACAGGCAATACGGTCTTAAAACATCTTCTTCGTGCAAATCACAATGAACGGATCCTTTTGTGCAGTCATTCTGCAGTATGCCTTCTCTAATTCAGACTTGAAAGAACTGCGGACAACTTTCATCGCAAACTGTGTTTTCAATAATTTCCTTAGTTATACCGCTATCATGTTAAACATTATTACAATGTACGCGATACGCAGAACGTCATCTTTGCCAAAGACTCTGAAAACATTGTTGCTTAGTCTTGCTTTTTCTGACGTTGGAGTCGGTTTATTTGTTCAACCTTTATATACTTTCTCTCTGGTCAAATGGTTGAAACTGGACCGTCCAAGCTGCAACACTTACCATGTGTGGAATATTTCAAGCAATTTATTTTCAGCTGCTTCGTTCCTTGGCGTTGTAGCTGTAAGTGTCGACAGAGTTTTAGCCGTTCATCTTCATCTCAGATATCAGGAGCTTGTGACTCACAAACGTGCTGTTACTGTGGTGATCTCTATATGGGTGTTCAGTGCATTTATTTCTTTATTGGTATTGTGGAGTTCCTCCGCAACTCAGAATCTTGTTCTTTTAGTTATTGCAGCTACTGGCTTTATTGTCTCCTTTGTGGTGTGCACCAGGATATATTTAACTGTCCGACGCCACAAGAAACAGATTCAGTCCATGCAGATACAAGAAATTGTTCAGGCTCGTGAAAAGGCAAATTTTACCGCGCTTATTAAATCTACAGTTGGTTTATTTTACGTATATCTCGTATTTTTAATTTCGTATTTGCCTTTTTTCATTTGCATTGCTGTTGTTAGAATCTATGGCTCGAGTATCGCTTTCCGGAAAGTTTTTATTTTCTCATGGACTCTGATCTTTCTTAATTCATCTTTGAACCCTGTCATTTACTGCTGGAAGATGAGACACATTCGACGAGTTATCATAGAAATACTTGGAAACTTGTCTTGGAGCAGAAGTAAGCCATCTCGTTTACACTACAATCGGTCTTCAAGGGTTGTCCATGTTGAAAACTGAACTCTCTTTCTATAATTATGTTAAGGACTGTATACAGCTGTTTTCTGTAGAGTAAATAAATCGAGGAGTTTAAGCCTGGTGATATGAGGCAGATAATATTGCAGTTGAAATATTTCCGGAATAAAACGTAAGTGCGGAAGGGAAAGAATATTTAACAGTTCACTCAGTTAGTCAGTACTTGTGACTCCAAGTATAAGTAGGATTGTCTATATGATATTATGCGTATAAAAGGTATCGTCACTCTTTAAATTAAAAGGGAAGCGGAAGTTCCCCTATGTTTTGTTGATTTACCATGCATTGACTGCAAAATGCTCAAAATGTAAAAATCTCTCTCTGAGCGTAAAATCAAACTGATATCCCATTGACACCAAAGCTTGGACATGTTTCAAAGCTTTTTAATTAATCACAGTTAAAAACTTTATTCTTCATAGGAAATGTTTAGACCGATGTTTGTCGCCTTCAAATTTAGCTCATTGGAAATATAAGTTAGTGACTACTTCAAAACCGATGGAAAGCTCAGTTTTAAGTTCTCTATTTCTGATTTTCATTCAATAAAACCCGGTTTAAGTAAATATGTTTTGCTGGTGTGAATGGGGTATAAGAGGAATCTTCCCCGTAAAATTCCCAGAGTAATACTTAATCCTCCACCCCTCCCCCTCTTAAGAGATAAATATTAGCATTTTCCCCTGGAGTTCTGTCGATTAGACGCAGTTAATAAATAAGTACGATCGAAAAAGTAATTAATATAAAGCAGCTGTATTTCTGAGCTAAACAACAACGAAGATCAGATTTTACCATGGGGTTAAAAAGATTTACCAACTCAAGGTACTTAAAGGTCCTTCAAGGATGCTTTGCGATAGTGCACTCTTCAAAACCTGTCAAGTCTTCTCCAAACTCGTGTAAGTTTTTATAGTCTTCTACCAAAACACCAAAGAGAGTAGATGAAGAGGTAGGAACGTTTTTGAACGTTTTTTCTTTGAGACCTGATAAGCTTGCACGCTCCTGCGAAATAACTGCCCATGTTAAGTTCATCAAGACGCAAATCCCTAACATATCTTCATTCTTTTTTTTTTTTTTTTTAAGTGTGGAAACTCTTTACGCTGGGCCAATTTACAGTGATATCTCAAGGACCTGTAAGCTCTACGACCAGCTTATCATCAAATATCATGCACTCTTTGACCGGTATTTACCTTACGACAAAATGGTCGTCAGGACTATTAGGAAGCAGCTCGCTCCAAAGAATTCACGGAGAGCTGGAAAATTTTTGGGCCGATTTATTTTGACTGGTGCGGCGTATTATAAAAGGAGAGAGAGAGAATGTTAACCGACTTCTATCTACACTCTAACACAGTGGTTACCTGCATGATTGAGAGCACAATTAACGCAAGGATCCCGTTTCAAAACGCGAACACGGCTAAAGTTTTTCTTTAGTTTCCTACATTATAAACATTATTTTCATATCACAAGCATGTCAATCACAACCTGAGTATCAGGCAAGTTTAACTTAATTGTGATAAACTGTAAAGCTTAAGAGAAACTGGTAGCATCGGTTTAGCCGGGAGAAAACCATTTCCCGTAATTAGAGAGAATCGGCTAGAACATCAGAATACATATTCCCATCATTGATAGCATCTCTACAAAGTTAACAATAACCATTTACTTGTAATAGTTATCAAATGAGTAAAATGAATTTAGAAGATATAAGTAAATATTGATTTCGTAAGGCGATGAAAGATAGATGATATTCACCTTGTAAAGAGCCTGAGACAAAAGAAAAGGAGACAAGTGACAGCTTTCTTTGATGGTTATCATTGTTTATGAAAAAAAAAGAAAAAACATTCCTGTGTCTGCAGATATTATTGATTCCATCTTTCATGGTAAACTAATAATACATCTCACGAAAGCGTGATGTCAAGAGTGGTATTTGTATCAGAATGAAAAACATCTTAACCTTAACTTCTTGGTTATGGTGTGACAAAACAGGTAAATATTTATGAAGCTAAGTGTCAAAATGTCTCGAAGGAAAAAAATTGAAATAAATATAGGTTCTAACTCATGTTGAGTTTAGGTTAAGAGGGCTCTGGAAATTCAATACATCGTTGAATAAGGCTGCGATTCACGAAATTAGTCTATTATGATACTAATCAAGCTGAGAACTGACCAGGCACCTCTGGCTTCTATCCTGACAGGCTGTCTGACAGGTGGCTGGCCTCTTTCCGATATTTAAATGGTCGATTTTATTACACACTCGTTTGGTGGAAACAAGGGATCTTCAATCCCGCTTTCAAATCAAAGGAACCAATTGAAGGAGTCAAAAAGCCAAACAAACAAACAAAAATAATACAGCTTCCCGTAAGGTACTATATTGGGTGCCATACTCACTTTAAGATGCTAAACGACTAAGATAGTTTGATTCTCGAATAACTCAATGGGGATTGCCTCAACAAAAAGTTATGTCCTCTCTTGATAAGATACATTCATAAAAAAAACCCTTTCTAGGAAACGACTCTAAAATTTTTTCCGGATAAGACCGATTTTCGATCTGCCAGCGATTTTGTATCAATTATGACAAAACGAGATTATTTTTTTCATAGGTAGTTCTGTCATAATGTTTAACCATCTAAATGAACTTTTTGGGGAAATCAAGTGAAGAGGCGTTTAGAAATTTGGATGTCTCAATAAAAACCTACAGTAGAGGTCAAACTTCGCTGAAATAATTGATTCTATCTAAGGGAAGCTTAAGAGGTGGAAATAGAGGAATTTAGCCATTTTTATTTAAGATCCAAATTGTCGAACCTTCCTTGTCCTAATGTTTATGTATGGCGCTAATCAGTTCAGAGAAGATGTGATTAAGGATGATTAGGAAGCCAATATCTCTTCAGGACCCTATCCTCCCCCCCCCCCCCCCCCCTCTTCCTGTCTTCCTGGACAAGTATCGCGGACTGGCAGCACAAAAAATTGAGTGTTTATAAATATATGACTGTGCTGTTTCTATAATACTTTGTATCAGTTAGGTCAAAATAATTTTGATGAAAGAAACTCGGGTTCTCAGGATGTAAATTAACTATTATCAAATTTGGATATGCTTGTGTCACCCGTACAAAACCTGCCAGAAATAAATCAGGGAAGAATTTTATTTTATTGTGGTATTTCCGGTGACTCAACTGATACTTATTGTAGTTGTCAGTAGCATCACCTGTCTTAGTTCACTATTGAAGTCGCAGTGGGTGGCACTTCGAAAGAAACTGATTAGACTGTGTGAAATAGAGTCGGAGCCAAGAAGTAGACGAATTTTCATGAATCCTTCCAAGAATCTGTTGGGGTTTCTTTTTCTCGCAATCTTGGATTTGACAAGTGGAGAAGGTCAGTTTCTAGCTTCGTTTCTATGAATGAACAAAAGTATTCATCCGCCATTCAAATTCTAGTAGTTGATGATCTCTTTTAAAGTATCAACGTTATAGGTTAGGTACCCTTTCCACAAAATCTAATTTTATCTTTTAGAGAAGTCATTTTTCACGTTTGCTTAGCTTTATCTGACTCCTTTTTTCTCTTAAATTTACCACATTTTTCAATGATTACATGTTCATCTATAGTGTTTATTTACACAGGAAAAAGAGTAAAGTGGAAACAAAAAAAAAAAAAAACAAAAATAAAGGAAAGTAGTTTACTAAGTAAGAAAAGAAAGAAAAAAAAAAGTTAACAATGTTTTAATTTTCCCAGTGCAGCCGATATCGTTCCTAATTAGTTATTTTTTTTAGTCTTTTTATCCCTCTACCTGCCTAGAGAGGTTGCTGGAGAAACATTCCAATACCTGAATTAATAAGTCAAAAGTCATTATTGCAATCGCTATGATAGTTCCTAAACCAATCACTTTCGCCGTGTATGTGGATTTTGATAAGTTTTGATTTTATTATTGAGTTTATTGTAAACATTAAAGTATATACTATGAGCAGTGATAGCTAGAAAATAATCTTAGACTAAGTATTTAGCTCATTTGTCGATACAAATAATACAAAAATATGAAAAATGCATTAATCGAGCTACATATTCTAGAAAATAAAATGCAGTTAAAAGGCACACGTGTCTTATTTAAAGGATATAAAATTTATTGATGTTAAAGTGGTTGTGAGCAACTACATTGAGAGGATTGCCTAATGTTTAAAACGACTTCTTGTGGGTTCATTTCTTTATTTTGTTGGTCAGCCACCAAGTCCGTAAGATATCACTCTTACCAACTGAAACCTCATTGGCTGACTGTTTGGCTGGTGGCTGGTACCTTGACGGAAGGTATTTCCACTGTACTTCGATGCTTCGATACTCGGTTGAGTGGCTAGTTTGTTTGTCGGTCAGGTTGATCGATTGATTGGGTGATCCTTGGCTAATTATTAAAGAAGTTTGTTCCACAACACCTTTCATTTCTTCCAATGAGAAGAACTTGCAAAAGATTTTATAGTTTCCGAAACGCAATTTGAAATTTCGAAGAGCTACCCAACCGCAAGAAAATTCTCACTAGTGCTAAAAAGGCATCTATGGACGCCTTCAGTTTAAAAAACAGAGCTAGTACCATGGCCCCAAAAGCAAAGCCACAGCAATTTCTTGACTCTCTGCCGTAGATATCCTAAGAAATCGCCCTCGATGTTTGCTCTTCAGCAGTTCAGCAGTTCAGCAGTACGAGTTTTCAGCACATTTAAAAATAATTTTGGAAAATTTGGTTTTAATTCTTTGGAATCTAAAAAACGAAATATGTCAGTACTTTTCTAAGAAGGGAGATTGAAATTAAATGTTTTGTAAGAGAAGGACTGAGCAGTGTTTCTTATATGAATTGTGTACCAGAGACCACGAGGTTGTTAAGTGTTCGTTCAGTAGTCGAACTAGAGAGCGACTTTCTGTGTGAAGTGAATAGCATCTAAGTTGAAATTTGTGGATCAGTGTTAAAAATATTCCAGTGTCGGCTGTAAGATATTTCATTACAGTTTCAAGAGCATCGGTTTTTAAGAAAGACAGTTGTGTTTATATTTTGTAGATGAAGGATGTGCTCAATTGAGGATTGGGGATCAATCTTTTGGCGGGACAGTAAAATACTCTCCAATGAACTGGTTTGAGACACCAGCAGTTGTTAAATTTGAAGCAGGTAATGAATTTATCAAACATATATATGAATTGTTGTTGTCATCCATATTTACCTTCCCTACGTAAGGATTTGATTGTCATTACTTGATGTTGGCGTTCAGCTGATCAGTATTGATAAAAGCATTAAATACGCAATGGGCAACAAGAAATACCTTTGAGCCGTTTGGCTTTTCAAATTTGGCGTTTCATATTTGAGAGTTCCGAAATATATTTGTCTGACATTCGCTTTGAAAGCTTTCGATATGCGGTTAAGTTGTTGACGCTATTTTATGTATTTTCATCTCATGGATGAAAAACATAATTCTGATTTGGTAAAAATAATTAATTTCTGTTTTTTCTCGAACCTTGAGGCTTGTCGCGGAAAAAAATCCAGTTTCTGTTTCTCTAGATGGTTCATCGCTTTATGAACTTTTTGGTTGTAATACCAGATTTCGGTCGATTCACAACCAAGAACAAAACAATCACAGCACCCAGTCATGACAAAGGCCAACTTCTTATTGAGTCAATGAGAAAAATGGTGAAAACAAACAGTTCCTTAAACAGAGAGGAGACGAAGAAGTGATTAGCTGTAATTTGGCGAAATCTTCGAGGGTTTGTTCAGTGAGGGGGGTGGGGCTGGGGCTGGGGGATTTAAGGGGATCATATGGTTTTTAGAAGTAGTTGAGGGGGGGCAGTTATCGTCAATGGAGTACAAATGGGGATTGCAGAAAATCGGCTATCAATTAACTGCCAATGGGGGGGGTGGGTGGGTCATAAGAATGTTACAGAGCTTTAAAGGGGGGAAAGGGGGATCAGGTAAGTTTTATCGTGAAACAACCAAAATCTTCCCACCTTAGACGATACATAATGCTTGGTTCCTCGTTCACCAATCAGAATGAAAATTTAGCAAAAACGAGAGAATATCAACAGTAAAAACCAATGCAACCTGGTCTACTTACAAAATTAACTCGATACGTTGTCCTAAATTCTTATTTTGAACTCTCTCATCAGCGTGTTCGGGCGAAGAAGCACTTGGGCTAGAGAGCGGTCTCATTACTGATCAACAGATTACTGCTTCATCCTCCTGGGATACGGCACACGGAAAACAGAACGCCCGACTAAACCGCCAAGCCGCCCGAGGTAAAACAAGTGCCTGGTCAGCGGGAAGCAATGATCTCAATCAGTGGCTTCAAATCGATTTCGGACGAAATGTGAAAATTACAAAGCTTGCGACTCAGGGACGTAATGACTACGGCAACCAATGGGTGAAAAGTTATACTTTCGCTTACAGTGCGGATGGCAGTAACGTTCTTCAGGCCTATAAAGAGAATGAAGTTGATAAGGTGCTGTGGTGTCCTTAATAATGCAGCTTATGCAGCGAGGGCTGTAGGGAGCTTTGCAATTTATATGTAATTTTTATTTAGTTTTAATGATGGGGGTCACATTTCATAAGATATATCACCATTTCGTGTCTGTTTATCTCTATTTCAAGTTTTGTGTCTGTATGTGCAACACATCTGGCTTCTCATTGATTATCAACTACATGTAAAATTATCTCTGACGTTTTCCATTCGAATCGTCAACTTTTTGAAATTCACCACGGTGGTTAACCAACCTTTATCAACTTTTAATTGATGCCAAACTAACTGTTTTACTTTCCCAAAGAGCATCAGTTTGTTTAGCAATTCTAATTGGCGGTCTTTCCCCGCGGTTCTAAGTATTCGTTCTTCGCTAAGTCAGCCAGTCTCACTCTCCTCCCTGAAAACAGCTGTGAATTGTTTTGAGGAGAGCTGAGATTTGATGTTCTCTTGCGCCAATCGCCGTAAAGCATTACCAACGGTACCTTCATCGTTCTTTTTTGAAATTCACTACGATTTTTTTTGCCGGTGATTGTCTTTGCGGAGTTAACCTAAATACCATGTGGAGTCACATGAATTGTTCCTTTTATTTTTCAGGTTTTTACTGGTAATGCAGATCAGAACACCGTGGTTACCCATGTCTTGTTGCAACCAATTACAGCTCGATATGTCCAAATAAAACCAAAATCGTGGAATGAACATATTTCCATGAGGGCCGAGTTTTACGGCTGTGTTCTCTCAGGTATGAGACCAGTCATTATGTGAGGGGAAGAGGGGGGAGGGGGGGGGGGAGGAGAAGGGGGAAGTGGGTGGTTGGGTCATGATCAAATTTAGCTAAATCTCCCCCTCCCCCTAACCAAGGCTCGTTAACTTTGTTATGATCATCTCTCATTGGCAGTCGATTTTCTGTAGTCACCCGTTCATTATGTTGGCGACGACCGATCCTACCTTCCTTCTTCCTATAAAACCACGTGATCTCCCCCAAATTACTCCGGACCCCTCCTCCTCAAGGTGATCACTGGTCCTTAATAGAGATGAGATAAATAACGAGGTACATGGTTATTATCAGACAGAACCTCGATCAATTAACACATTCTTTTAATGCCTTGAAATCACAGACCGTTATCAAGTACTTGGTCGGAATGTCCACATGGATTACGTTCAAGAGCATCTTCGTACAAAAAGAGAGGTAGCCTTCGGACAGACCCAGGAGCGAGCCAATAGAATCGAGCTTGAAATTCTTGCTGATACTGTATATGTTAAGGTAGGTTTTTTTACAATTTATTTTAACTTTGGCTAGGGGAAATTTGGTTTTTTAGTGGTACCCTTTCGTTTGTTCCCAAGAACCTTTCGTACTCAATAGAATCGTATTAAAGTCAGACAATTCATACCCAGTTTGTGTCAGTTCGTACCAGTCCTAACGTTCAGTGACGATCAAAACCTGGGAGATCTCACGAACAGATGTTGACTGTTGCGCACAACAAGTTAGTAAAGAGGCAAGCGGGTAAAACACAAACAAAGTTCTGTTTTGTATACTTGTGACCTTCTTAACAATAAACACTAAATTATAATTACTGCCCAGGGCGATGTAAGGGTGTTGTACAAAAACTAGACACCCCACACATGAAACTTCTTCAACGCAGATTATATTGTTACTGATTGCAGAATTTAACATCAGGAACCCACCTTACTTTTAGTAAGATGGGTTCAAAAACATAATTAACGTAGAAAACGAACGTAAATTAATATGGCTGGATACAAAACATCCTCGGGTAGTAAACAGGTGGTAAGCGTTTCGATCAGTAAAACTGAACCTTGATGTTTTCGCAAGCTCTACGAATTACAGTTGGATGAAGAACGTATTGTAGCAATGGAGGCCATTTATAAATGACTGTTGCGATCAATTTAAATTAGTTTTGGTTTCTGACACCCAATCGAAAAGTGTTTCGATTCAGAATGTCCAAATGGAGCACGAACAGTTCTGAATTGAGAGAACATTGACTGCCTCAGGGCGGTTTCGATATACATGTAAGGGATTATACGCTGCTTATTTCCCATAGGGTGACGTGGACTTGCGTGGTACAAAAAAGTTGACAATATTCAGCCGAAAGGTGGTCTTTTTGAAAGACAGTCAACTGAACCTCAGAGCTCCCAACTTAGTGCAAAATTTAAATATCCTGTCTCCTGGTACCGATGGAGACGATGGGAAGCATGGAGTTCATGGTCCAACAGGTGAGTTAAGGACTGCCAGAAATTTAAGGCTATTATCTTCTGCCCTTTTTCGTATGTGGCTTGTGTAGGTCAGGACCAAGTATCATTTGTGTGGGGGTCTAGAGGTACCAAATCCCCGAGGGGTACATCCTAGAAATAAGCTAGTAGGGATGTGCTGCAGGATGGGATCGCACTTTCACGACTGGGTTGACTGTAGTGGCGTTACTTCTACAACAGAGTCACTAGAATGGGGTCGCAAATTGTCAGAATTTTGGATTATGCAACGCAAGTTTTTATTATCATTATTTTTTAATCTGTCATCTAAAGTCACAGTCTACGCGAAAATGATGGCTGGCTATGTAAATATCATAACAAGTGGCGGAAATGGAAACCCGGGGCAAAATGGCGCGAATGGAAGAAAGGCAGCCGACAGCATGCACAAGGTACATCATTCAAGGACGTGACCCTCGGCAACGTTTGTTTATTGAAGGAAATTGAAATGAACTCATGTCAAAATGGAATGCTCACCACCAACAATTTCTCATTATTATTTTTCATCACCATCATGACCTTCTATAATCTAAGTGAAAACCTCGCTGCCGATTTAAACTTAAACTTAAAATATACTTACAATAATCATCGTTATTTGATACGCGTGATATAGAAAAACTAAGGCAAAGGTCATAATTTATCACCTGAAGGGGACTGGGGAAGTTCTCTATTGATGATTGAACGAAAATTTACTCTAACAGTGGAGGTTTTATGTCAATAAACAATCAGCACTTGGTCTAACTTTACTATTCAAACAGCAACCAGACAGGACAAACTCTGACTGCAAAGCACGCGAAACAAGGTATGGCTGCACTAGTCACATTGCAGGGATACCAGGTATATCAGGCGGAAATGGAGGAAACGGCGGAGATGGTGGGAGATCAGGTAAAACTGAAACTTTAATAATTTATTCTAACCATAATAGAATAAATCGATTTCTTTCTTTTGAGCTTCCAAAGATTCACCTAATTGCCCAAAAATTGTTATTAACGCCAATACTTCCTTTTTCGACGCCGCAACCACGCGTTCTTACTCTAATTATCATTTTCTTGCCCAAGTTTTTTACTTTTATTGATTATTGATTCAAAAATGTCTATTTAAGAGTTGATTAAAGGGAGTAAGTTTCTTAAGAAATCGTAGTGCTGCTTCAGTTTGGGGATTAACAGGATAATTAATTTTGGTGTTATCAACTTAGTTGATAATAGAAATTGGTTACCGCAACGAGTTTATAAAGTTGACGTTTCGAATGTTAGTTCTTTTTTCAGAGGGAATGATGAACAGCTAACGCTTGAAACGACAGTTTTAGAAATTCTTCACGGTGGTCAATTTCCATTTTCAACTCAGCTGTTAAAACCAAATTATCCATATCAAAAATGGTTCAGCGTGCGTTTGATGAGATGTGGTGAAAACGACGGAGGTTTGGAGAGCACGAAAGATGCGTTAGAGTTGACCGCTCTTCAAGGAATTGATTCCAGCCTCTTAAGTACTCTTCAATCTTCTGAAGGGCTTCATATCTAGATTAACACAAAGCTGATGCATGAAGTAATTGTTTGATTGCATTTTCCACACAGCAGTGGAATATGCCTTATATGGTAGTTCCCCAGCCATGCACACGCACGTTTTTAGTGTACCCCGCGCCTAGCGGAAAACTGAGGCAATCGCTCTGTTGACTTTCATTACTTGTACACGAATTTATTATGTTATAAACAGTAGTAATCACCACTTAAATGTGCTACATTTACTTATGTCCCTCGTCTATTTATTTATTTATTTATTTATTGAACTTAACAACAGGAAATGGTGGCAATGCAGGTCGTCAAACTCTTCATATTTTGAAAGTGAGAGGGTATGTCGAATTAACATCTTGTCGTGGGTTTGGAGGGCAGGCGGCAATAAACGGATTAGGAGGAGCCGGTGAGGACTCAGAAATTCTTAATTAATAAAATTTTGCACGAGGAAACAATGCAGAAGCATTGACTGAGCAACGAATAGTTTGATAAATTGAAAGATTGTTTTCAGGTGGTTTAGGAGGACGAGGCGGCCGCGGAATAAACTGTAGGAAGAAGGAAAGATGTTCCGGCGGACGTGTATTTTATTCCTGTAGTCACTGGTGTGAATCATCTGGACAAACTGGCGAGGCCGCTCGCGGAGCAACTGGAAGAAGCGGAAGCAACGGACAAGGTTTTTTATGTGGTTATTAATTTATTCTTTAAATTAACTTTAGACGGTCTTACGCTTCCTTAAAATGGAATAAGGTTCCCAGGTTATGGCTCCCCTCCCCTTCTCGTACGGACTGTGTTGGCCAAGAATGAGAAGGGAAGGGAGAGAGCACTTGGTTGTTTTTTTTTTTCAAAGAATTCTGTCAATTATTTTCACAGGTGAGAAAAGAGTAGAACGCTGTTTCAAGTTTAAGCGTTCCCCTTCTTCCTCTCTAAACTTGTGGCGTTGGTTCAGAAAATAAACTGAAATGAAATGTTTTCAAGCATTGTGTTCATCAACACTGCAGTGGGAAGGGAATGGGAACTAGTTTGGTCCTGCTTCGAAGGTTCCTCCCAAAAATTTCAATTTGCGGGGCAATGCTAAAACACTGTCTAAAGGTTACGCTTCAAATACAAATTTAACGCCTTTCAATTTTCCTACCGTCATTTTACTTTCAAGAACTCGTCGCAAAGGGCTCCGATGGTCAGGAGGAAATGTCGTATCTCCAGAAATTTAGTCTGGGTCCAAAGCAATTGAAAAAGTATCCTCTGCAGCTGATAAAGATGATGACAAGATATGGTGAAGAACTTCTCTGGGCCAACGATGTCAAAAAGAGCAAAGCTGTGTTCAAGTTTGTTGTAAAATTGTCAAGTGGCAAAGCTGGAGCCTCTGAATTGAGAAAAGGTTCGGTATTTTCGAATACATTTTCGTTTAATGTACCTCATTTAAATAAATAACATAAAAGAAATTTGCTGATAACTCTATTTTCGAAAGACATGATCCCAGCCCGACAATAAATACTTATATTTCCCAAATAGATTCCATGTTTGTACAGTAATAGATTACAGATGACCTTAAAATGTGGTAAGAACAAAAGATTAGGACTGGGGGCGCAGCCTAAAAAGAGTGAATGGTTATCAATGAATTTAAGGCCGTAATCTGCATAGAAGATGATGTGAAATGTAATCTCCCATTGGGAGTTTGAAGCGGTACACAAGCACTTATCAACTCCCTTGCTAATCATTCGTTTGGATTATTTCTTAGTGGCAAAGAGAAGACTGGCTTTTATGAACAAAGTAGGATATGACAGATTTGGGAAGAACCAACTGTTCGCACCTATTATCAAATGGGAGGCCTTCAAGAAACAGGTCGAAGTCATCAAAGTTCGTGCAGAAACGTTTGAGAACGCTTACAATGCTATCAAAGAATCGATTACACGGCATGATGACGTTAAGACAATAGTAAAAGCACTACCACAGGCTGCCAGACTTCAAGTTGTAAAGCAAAAGAACAGACTTGTTGAGGCCAAACGAATAGCAGTAAGCGAAAAGGGAGCATATGTATTGGTAAGAATCGAAACCTCATTGTCGAATATATAATGATTTCTTATCGAGAGAGTACCAACCTGTGAAACTGAGATCTCCAACTCGTCTTCCCTCTTACATTTTTCTAAGGTGAATAATGCTATACCGGCGATCTTTACTTGAAACACTCTGAATCAAAAAGCTTTCGTAGGCGAATTTTGTCAACGTTGGCATTGCATACGGCGTACTGTCCTTCTCTAAAACATTTATTTCAAAGAGAAACAGACCAGATGCCTCGATTCTAAGTAAACTTGGGAGGGACACATGAGTATAGCTTCGAAATAAAGGCCTAACGAAAAACGCGCTGGTCGGGCGGCTGGGTCTGGGTTGAAAACAAAGTTGGTCAATATTGGTGATGAAATTTGATTTTTAAAGTACTTCTCTCCACCAAAGAGCATCAGTGAAGAGTTAGCAAGGCAGGCGGATTGATGAAGGATAACCTGCGATGACGTAGCATACAGTCCAGTTGGCGCGGCATTATCCCCAGTCGTCTTAAGCTACGGAGTCCTAGATAAACTCCAGCTAAAGATAAGCCAATCGGCTAAATTTCTGACTTTAACTTCCTTGTTATCCTTGCCCTAATATTACAATTGTTTTGTCTCCTCTTCGTTGCACTAGGCTATCGGTGAGCTGGAGGCAAGCATGAAGAGCAATCTTCTAGAAGCAAAAGCGATGCTTCCAGACGTGTACGAAAAAGCAAAGTTTAACAGCGACGACTTATTCGTCATTCTTGAGGGAATAACAGGATTCTTTAGTGGTGCAATGGGAAAAGATCCTTTCGCAGCCCTTGGATCAGCCCTCGGGGTTATTGGGCATTTTGCTGGCAAATGTGACCTTGGTAAACTTCAGGATAATTTGGATAAAGTAGAAAAATGGTTGAAATTTGGAAAGGACTATGCTGCCCTAAAAGACTCAAGTGAATTGGATTTTGACAAAATGGATGTGGCTGCTGTACCTGAAGTAATGCAGGTAAACACGGAAATGCTGCATCTTCAATATCTAACGTTTGTGTTTCAACAGCTTGTTATTTTGTTGTTTGTTTGTTTATCTACTGATTTAATCGTTGAGTTTTATTTATTTTGTCTTTCTCTTTACCCTTTGGTCTGTTTTCTTTTCTGTGTCTCTCTGACGCTCTGTCTGTGTGTCAGTCTGTGCGCCTCTTTCTTTGACCCTAACTCTATTGCTGCTTCCCAAGTGATATCCAGTTCATGACAAAAATTTTGATATTCTTATAAAAAGGCTAATCTGGAAATGAACAAAGAGGGACTTGCAGCGGACCTTGTTTGCCTGCTGGATGAGAGGTCGAAACCTCGAAACTCGGCAAAGTTTCAAGAACAGATCGAACGATATTTTATCGCCGGTGCCGCAAGAATCGATCTCATAGCAAAGGTCATGGACTTGGATAACGAAGTCGGTGGACATAAATTTGACATCTCAAACTTAGAGGAGACAGCAAATGAAATTGAAAGCCTTAGTAATTCTGGTGGTAAGGATCTTTGTGATTATACATTGCACCCTAAGATCCCACGCTCGGTCGTGCACATGTGTGGCTATACATTCTCGCCGAAATATCCCATCAAGTTTAGCTTGGATGTCCCGTCGCCTCACGCTTTCCCTGTTGGTAATCCTCTTTCCGTAAATAAGCAGGAAAATGAATATTAAGCGTGACAGATTCGTTTCCCAAATTCATCCAACTTACCGCAGCTGTTTTTCATAATTTCTGTTTAATTAACATAATGGTGCATTTGTATTTGAGTAGGCAAAGGCCTAATGCTAGCATATTTTCTTTTCAGATTCTCCCATTGCTGAAAGCACACAACAGATGTTTCTGGATGGTTTACTTACGTCCTATCAGCAGATAGAAACAGGATTTGCCCGACAATTGTACCAGTTGTACAAAGGTTTCGAGTTTCGCTCTCTATGGATTGTTCGGGAAAAATTAGCTGAATTCGAACGGCGAGCAGTGTTAGCCGCGCAGGGAACAGGAAATCTCCGTGGGGTTTTAGAGCTTACAAAAGCACTTCAAGAAATTGACGATATCGAAAATAAGGGACAGCGATGCTTCACAAAATTTCGTCACACAATTACTACGCACAAATGGACGTTTGACAGTGCTAAAGACAACGTGGTGTGTGGTGTATTTTTTTGTCTTTGTTACAATGAGCTATTAAATAATACAGACGTTTTTTGCAGTTTTTAGTGTTGCTGTTGATGTTTTTTTTAACTTTTGTTCCTTGTTTTCCCTTTTATTTTTTGGTATTTTTCGTTGGGTATCAGTATTCGACTGTTTAGCCCCCTTGGATTAAGTTAAAACCTCGTTAAACACTCATTTCATTTCCTACATTTGACTTTTGATTTTTGATTTTGTCTTTCTGAGCAAACTTTGGCAGTTCTCCGTGTGGCTTGTTACCTTGTTTCGATTGTTGCAGGAAAGGTTTTTATGTGCTACTTCATTTTCGTAGAAGGAACCTCTGCATTAAATGTCATCTTTATTGCTATAAAATTCTTTACTTATAGTTCTTCATTATTTCTTGCAGATGTTCGACGAACTTCATAAGGGCGCTACGAGGTTTTCATTGAAAATTTCAGATAGCTGCGATCTATGTTATAATGTGCGCCTTTTGAAGGTAATAACTAGGCTCAGATAGATTGTGCTGGCATAACTTTGGCCATAATTTTATAGTAAGGGCATCGAGCATAAGGCCAGCATAATGAGTAAGATTCTTTGCGTTAAACTGAGTTTTTAGTACTTATTTACTAAAAAATTTTTGAGGTCCTTTTTTTTTAGTTTCTATTTCTTTTCTGCAATTTTTTAAGACTAGGTTACTTCATTGAAAGCCTGATTTCAAGGTTTTACCAATACCACGAGATTATATACAGTTTATAATCTCTTCAGTAACACACTTGGCTTTTAAACACTCTTAAATTTAGTTACTACATGGAGCATAATAAAAAAAAGGGAGCATAATTTTGGACACAATGTTTTGCTTTTAGGGGTGATTCTTAAAAGCATAATTGTCGAATTGTCAACCACAATTGTTATTCTTTAGTTGAACTATGTTTAACCGTGTTTATAACTGAATAAAAATCGTGATCAGAGACAGAGATCTGAAAAACTGGATTTTCCACAGGTTTATTTATTCAGTAACATGAATTTTCAAAATGCACTAATTTAAAGTCGACAAACATCGGTTTAAGCAGCTGTTACGGAAAAAACAATGTAAAACCGTGTTTTAACAAAACGGCTTTTAAACATGTTTATGCTTTGGTGTGAGTGGGGAATTTGACTGTCAATGAAGATAACGTTCAGTCTAAATTTTCTAACTGAAGATAAGAATTAAGATCTGTTCGCCCTAATCTCCATGTTTTTTTTTCGTTTTCTGTTTTCGACTTTTCTTTTTACAGATGTACGTTGAGCTAGAAGGTGACGAATCTCAAAGCGGTGATTACCCATCGAGGGTTTATCTTAAATTAAGACATCTAAGTGGCTCTTACTTTAGAGATGGAAACGGGAATGTCAGGGAATTCCGGCAGCCTTTAGGATCATGGCGGACGTTAGAATTCGACCGATTTGCAATCACTAATACCGAAGGATGCAACAAAGAAAAAGCAAAAGGAAACAGTGAGCAATGATTTAAAAGGCTAACCTTATATAGTATTTCACGAAAGCCTTTCTTCCTGGTTTCACGCAACTCTATCATCAAGGCGTGACATCCTACAGAACGGCTGTCAAGTAACTGCGAAGGAGATTAGACTCCGACCACACCAATTCGTTTTCGCTCTTCAACGCATACTTTTTGATGCGTTTCTTCCGCCTATCATTAACTAAAGCCAGAAAAGCGCTGATGAAAACGGAGCGTGGAGCATTTTGAAAAACACCTCCTTTATAACCTTGATAAGTCTGGACATAGTGGGCATCGCTGTCCTTTCAAATTATTTGTAAAACATTTCTTCTCGCAAATTTTCAGAGGATTCTCTCTTCTGTATGGGCAAGGACGATAACCGCTTTCAACCAATGTGCTGTCATTATCTTAGCGGTTCACCGTGTGATGACACACTTCTTGGAGCAGAAGAATGCCGGAGTCCATTTGGAACTTACGAGATGACCATACCGATTGACAGCAAAACTCCCTGTAAAGCCAGTGGCTCGCGCATAACAGACGGAAATTGCAAGGACTTTGATGTAAGCGAAAGTTATTAGATTTGACTAAGAGGTTGTTGGGCATCTGAAAATAAAGACAATCCCCACGTATTCCAGGCTAACAATTTTCCACACGCGATAATTCACAATTGCAGAGGAACAGCAATATTTTAACGTCAAAGTTGGCGTTTTACTTGTCCAAATTATATTACTTTTCAGCGGAATAAAAAAGGTTTTTTCCTTGATTTTTCCTATCACTATTTTTCTCCAGATTTCTTTACCGATCAATTTTTTGAAATAACTAGATGTGAGTGAAATATCGATTGACGCAACCCCCCTCCCCCTTCCCCTTCCCCCCCGTTCCTCGAAATTCGAAGCACGGTTTAATTTCCGTGGTGACGTATGTTACGGTGGTGACGTATTTCCAAGAGAGCTACCATTCTTTTTTCGTTGCTTGCATCCAAGAGAATATTTTATCTGATGCCTCGTAAGAAAATTGAAGCAAACAATGGCATTATAAAACTTGGTAGATGTCATGCATTTAGGAAAGTATTTTTAAAAAACTTTTACTCTTTATGCTTCATTTCAAAACAAATAATTGTTAATTATTGCCGGAATGAGATTGGAGTACTGGCTACTTGTTATGGCCATAAGGGTCCTAAACTAAAGTCATGTACCAAATTATGTTAGAATCGAAAACGACTGCGCATGCGGTTAAAACGTTAAACGGATAAAATTAATGGAAAGATACTGGCGGCTACAATATGTTGTGATTTATCCAATTTTTTCTTCTTTTGTGCATCAGCGTTCAGTGTTCACAAAAATGAACGTGTGGATTCAGTATCTGTACTGGACTGGTGAGTACCCAAAAGGTCCAGACGACCCAAGATGCAGCAAGTTCCAAGACCCAGACTCCGAGGCCGAGCATGTTCCCATAACTATTAACCATGAAGCATCAGGTGATATCGAGTCATAGAGAAAATTATAGAGAAAAAGAACTAATAAACGTAGTGGAATACTGCAGTCACTGTGATTTAAGGAGGATTGTAAATGGCTCTAATTAGTTTAAAGCAATGGGACATGAATAAGAATAAAGTAATTGCTAAACATTTTCTGTGTTTGAAATTTATTGCATACATTCAGGGAGAAAGGTATAAGTAGTTGAGCAGCTAATGGTTTGCGCGCTGCATGAGTTCTAGTTACGTACGAAAAGGTTCGGCTCATGTGTTCGTGTGGTCAGCGGACATTCCCAATAATGCCTGACGCACTGAATAGAAGCCTGGCTGGTTCCATAGTGACCATAACAGCTACAGTGGTAGAAGAACTGATCATTACATGGGTTTTTTTGGGTCGTGAGCAGATAAAGCTGAGCATGGTCTGTTGTATATGAGACACCAACGATCTTCTTATCCTGCAATCAGAAAAAAAAACCGGAATTATTCGAATGACAGCAAATAGAGAAGAATATTTGACTACTTCCGTTTAATAATTTATCATCTATTCTTTATTTGGGAGACTTAAATCGATCTAACTCCTGATAAAAAGGACCCACATACATGTTGTCCAATTACAGAGCATACATCAATCCATGTCGGCGTATCACGTCAGATAACGTGAATAATCCAGGTTTTCATCTGCGTTAAGGTAAGGCAAACAATCTGACAGAAGTCCTTACACTTCCCGTTATCAATAAAATTACAGAGGGAATAGTGTTGAATTTCTCCTTTGGAGTTACTACATTCAATTTACCCTTAATCACTCTAATTTGACTTGGTAAAATGTTGCTGGTGATTGGAACTTGGTTCCCATTCAAATCTTCAATATCGTGTTCACACTGGGAGAAGTGTCCAGTTCCTCTGGGTCTTTGTGGTCCTTGTGAACCGTTACAGGGGCAAGAGAAAATGTGATCTTTGTTTTTTTCTTTTTCTTTTTTCGCCCGAAGTAGATCGATCGTGGTTTTGCTACGCTTTATTTAAGGTTCCCTGGAGGTGATTTGATAATTGTGGCTGGCAAATGTCTCTTACCAGAGCTTAACATAAACCGAAGTAAAGATCTTTTAAACGAACTAAAAAGGGTATACTCACCTTTATCTTCGTTCCAGATATCGCCATGGCTAACTTGTTTTCTGACACATTTAAATTTTCCTCCAAACGTTTGAGTCCAGTATTCTCCTAAAGCGCAATTCTGAGGTTAAGAGGTAGTTAAGAGTAGCAACAAGACAGTTTGGTTAAAAGTTCTTATTCGTCTTTGATTAACACTCTTAGAAAGAACTTCTATGTTTCCTCAACTGAAGAAAAAACAAAAAAAAACACACACACAAAAAAACAAACCTCTTGCGCTTTGTAACAACATATCGTCGGTCTTTGTAATTAACTAAGCTGTCTAATAACCTGGTCTAGGACAAGTAGACCCGATAATATCTGTCAATCCTGTTAATAACGATGACGATAATAGCAACGATAATGAAAATGACAATAATAATGATGATAACAGTGATTACGATATTGATTCTGATAGCAATAGTACCGGTGGTGATGGAGATAATGACGAGAATGAAAATTGTGTTATTGATTATAACGATAATTTAAATAGTGAAAATCTGTCCCTCAACGAAAACACCAACTGCGAGTCTTATTATATTTTCCTGGTCCTTTATTAACTATTTATTAGGGTACATGGCAAGTAATTAAGTTCAGCTTAATTGCTTTACCCAAGGCTGACAGTTAGCGGGCTTTGTCAGAAAAATAGACATATCAAAACTTTTCTGATGGACGATAAGACATGTATCTTTTGGTTGATTAGTATACTAAGCCATGAGCTGAGTATGCTAATCGCAGCGTTTGGGAATACATAGGAAATAGTAGTAACCTACACTGAAGCCGAAAAATTTGGAATTGAGACCGTATCATCGACCGTACAAGGTGCTTCTTTTAGCATGCGCGGCCGACTGCATTGCGGGCACTATCTTAGCCATTACGTAATGGAAGGGTGAGGAAGAAAGTAGTGCGCAGGCCCGATTCCGTGCGTAACTTGGATACCCCATTAGTATGTGCCAGGAGACACCGGCAGATGACAGTGAAGTGCGCATACTCGAGTGCCGAGCTTTGGTGCAGCGTTCCGCGGACACACGGTTAGGCATTACATGAGTGCTTCACGTGGGGTAGTGGATATGAAGCCGCGTAAGCAAGTAATTTGCAAAACGCGTTTTGAGCGGGAAATCAAACTGGTGAAGTTGTAGTTGAACAGTAATTCTCAGTATTTTGCAATTCTAATCAACTCGCAAAGCAACAATACCAGCAGAGCTAAAGCTTTGTCAACCGGAGGAAATTGTTGTAATTCACTTTCGCGGAGAGAGGGTTTTGTGTGAAAATCGACTGGAAAGAAAGAGACAGAGCGACCAAAGAAAGCAAGAAGTAAAAGGTGTAAAGCGAGTCGAGAAAAACGCGCAAGAAAGTTAGAGAGGACGCCAAAATAGGCAGAATACGGCGAGAG